TGGCCATGTCACTCACATTCAATCGACGGTTTTCCTGCATAAGGCCTTCGACAGCTACAATCGACTCTGAGGTCACTACTCAGTGTGCCTGATCTGGTCATGAACAGTTTTTTTCAAAGGCAGAAGCAGACAAACTATATCCAATCTTCCACGTAGAGACGGCAGACATATTTGAAACATCATCATGTGCTTTGTTAGTGGCAAAGATGTTTATGTGTCATGATTTCAATCCCTGGTGTTCAAGATATTCGTTCATGCCAGACTTCTGGTCCAATATGGCAGGTAGGCTGGCTGACCGCTAGTGCTCTGAAAAGCAACTTGTTTCTAGCCAGCATCTGCTCATGCAATTTCCTTATTTCTAGACTGGGAATCTAAAAGTTTTGTTGCCCACCTACTGAGTTGAGTACTTAGCACAAACACTGCCAGCTTTGAATTTCATATATAATAGTGTTTTCATTTCTTTTATGTTGTACCTGTGATGGCCTTGTGTTGTGAACTGCACTAAAAATGTTGGTTGCCGATTATCTTTGGAATGGTGTGTACTTACGCAGTATTCCCGGTGCAGTGCTAGCTTTAATAATGCACTGCATTGATTTTGACCATGATATGGAGGGCCAACTGTTAAAAAGGCAACAGCAAACTAGTGAATGCAAAACTAACTAGTGAAACCACAAACAGCTGACATCATGCTAGGGTTGGCCTGCAACACCATGCATTGGATACCCCGCAACTGTTTTAAGATGTTATACCATACAGCAGGGTTATTCTTGTTGTGAACTTTGACCAATTAGGGTTTTCTTCCTAGTCAAGAGTGCAAAGGGGTGAGCAACCAACAGTCTGTATACAGATACGCCTGATCTGCCAAATGGATGTGCACACAAAGTGGACAGAACGAGTCCAGAAGTAGGTGAACAGACAGAACTTTCTGCCAAGGTTTTCATCCGATAAACACTAAGAAGAAGAAGTTAAACTAAGTTTACTTATGGTCAGAAAATTTAAAACTGAGAATGTCACAGGCCAAAGGCCCAAGCCCAACAGGATATTAATACACCCAACTGACAATGATCCGTGGGCCACTCGCTACGCCCCAGCAGGTCAGATTTGACCTGAGGGACACCAGTCAAACAGCTTTACATTACAGCAGGGCAGATGACATACACAACATTAACATCCTTGACCTTCACAATATGAGGCAAACGGCTTAACCAAACACATACACACACCTCCCTCCAGTTCATATGTTAATACAAATTGTACAAAACAGGCTGTCTTTATGTTTCTCTGCATTCTACAGTAAAATCGGGGAAACCAGAAAAACAGTAAAAATATGAATCAACCACATAAAATGCACTCCTTACCTTTCTTGCTATTCTGCACTCTATACTTCTCCAACTCCTCCGCCCAACTGTTTCTTCGACTTCTGTCTCTTACTGCTGTCTCCACTGATTGTCCTTTCCCACTCCACAGCAGCATTCCTCTATCCACACTCTCTCCATCTTTTTCTGGTGTCTGTACATTATTACTGTCTTCGTGTTTTTCTGCTACATTTTTGCCTCCCTCTGCGTCGACACGGTCTTTCCCAGATTTGTCAGCTGGAGCCAACAGACTGGCATCAGAAAATACCAATGTCTTGTCTGTCTTGGAAAGTGTTCCATCACCTGAGCCACCATCATCGGTTCTATTTGACAACAAGGCTGAACTGACTCTGGACACTCCGCTACCACACAAAAGACCATTTCTTTGTGTCATTGTCATTTGTGAATCACTGTTCTCAACGATACAACTGGGTTTATCACTGGCACCAGGAGACACATGTCCAAATTTAGCACTTGATACTGTTGTACCAAAACTGCCGTCAGGTTCATCTAGATCTGAGATATATCCTGGAGGATTCAGATTGCCTAATGAATATCTAGGATTCTGGTTGCCAGTTCTGTCCAAAGAACGAGCCGCAACACTACCATCCCGACCACTTCTCCCCAGGATGGGTGCAGCAGCAGCAGAAGCAGCACTTGTGCGTGAAGAAGGAACCTGTTGTGAACTGGACATCAAAACAGAGCCCTGGTCGTATCTGTGTGAGTCCAGATGGTGCTCGTCAAAGAAAACCCCATGTTGAAAGTTTTGGTAGTCTTCCAAATTCTCAGCATACAGTCCAAGATGCTCTTCTTTGGCATCATCGGTCAAGCTGTCATTGTGGTGTCCAAAGACGTAATGCCGCCTCAAATCATCATCTGAGTCAAAGAACATGAGTCTGCTTTTACACATTGGGCTCAGCCCAATTGACACCGAAAGCACCTCATTTCCCGCTCCAGGCAGCCTCTGGTCTCCTGGACTCAGTCCGGCTGCGCCAACGGCAATCATGGGTGAGGTCTGCACCCACTGGTCGGTGTGGCAGAAACTAGTGCCTGTCTGCAGAGATCTGTCAATGAGCTCAGGACAGGTTTCTACAGCCACTGAGTGGCTGGCTGGTGGAGAACCCCAGTCACTCTCCAAGGAAGACACAGACTCAGACAGCACTGCGGCTGTCCCTCTTTTAGCAGACTTCTGCTGAGGGGATAGGCACACACCGGCCCTCCTCTCGGGTGAGGCAGACGTGCTGGCTTGTTTAGCCTGGTGTTGTGAGGATCCAAGATTGTAGCCCCCGTCTTGGCAACTGTTATTGTCAGGACTGTCAGCTGCAAAGAAAAATGGCACAGACTTTCACTTTCACATATACATACAACGCTTCGCCTGCGGATTGGAAGGTTGTGGATTGAGGCCTTGCTTATTTTTAAAAAAAAATAATAACCTTGGCTCCCAGGTTGACCCAGCCTTGAGTGAGTACCAGGTACAGTACTGGAAAGTGAAGGCAGTCGGTGTGGTGTTGACCATATCATCTACCGAAAGCTGATTGGCCTATAAAATATAGGTCTAGCCCTATATGCCCAAAACGCCTCAAGGCGTGGAAAAGGGTTCTTTACTTCATATTTTATTTATAGTTTTTTGTTGTTGCATACACAAGGTTTGCCATTGACATTACACTGTTTTTGTGTGCATGTGTTGCAGATTATCATACACACAAGTTTGCATATTCATATTTAGCGATATAGTTTCTAATCAACAGATAGGACAATTTACCCTCACTCACACGCAGCCACTCTTCGAGCAGTGGCTAGTTGGAGATTAACACGCATGACTCTTGTTAGGAAGACCCAGGCTAAAACCCAAGGCAATGTGATAGAGATGTTTGATTTTTCTGTTGGTTGCACACACACATACATACACAAATTCAGAACCTGCACAGTTCGTGGCAACTGCACTAGCCATGTGAACTTCAATCTTCAGGCTCACAGCCCCGCTGTCTTGCACAGCCCTAAAAGTTATAAGTATTGGCAAGAAGAAAGGAGACAGAGATGGTGGGGCCATATGTACACGTACACACGCCTATATTCACATACAGCAGTCATCTCCACCCTTTCTCTACTGATGCCCCCTTTGCCTAAATGGCAAGAACTTTCTCAGGAAAACATAACAAAATGTAATTAACAAGAGGTAGGACAAAAATAAAAATCCCAAGTACTGTTAACAAGAATTGGGGGGGGGGGGGGGGGGGGGGGTGGGGGGTGGGGGGGGGGGGTGGGTGTGGGGTGGCGGGGGGGGGGGGGGGGGGGGGTGGGGGGGGGGGGGGGGGGTGAGGGGGGGGGGAGAGGGGCGGGGGTGGGGGGTGGGGGGGGTGGGGGGGGGGGGGGGTGGTGTGGGGGGGGGGGGGGGGGGGGGGGGGGGGGGGGGGGGGGGGGGGGGGGGGGGGGGGGGGGGGGGGGGGGGGGGGGGTAGGGGGGGGGGAGGGGGGGGGGGGGACCATGTATTTATTCCAAAGTGTTAAATAACAAAAGAAACAATCACCAACAACTAGTAAGTTTAGTGTCCAAATATCAATTTGATTTGAAGTTAACACTGATTTGTCTGGACAATATCTGTTATTGTAGATCTGATGTTGGACAAGGCACAACAGAGATCACTCTCCATTCTAAGCTAACAATGTTATTTTGTTTTCATGACTGTTAAAGCTGAAAATCCAGCTTATTACACATACAAATGCACTCAGTTTGAAAACTGCTCGACGCCATCCTGAAAATTGCTCATGTCCCTATCCCCCGCACACACCGTGCCCCTCCCCCCCCCCCCCCCCCATTTATCCCAGGGGCGCACTGCGAGGTTGGAGACCTCTGATAAACAGGGTCTCCTCGATTACAGGTCATAAGATGAACTAGTCATGCGTTAAAACTTTTTCAACACTATTTTTATATATTATTCAAATGGGTCATAAAAATTGTATATAAAACTAAAAAAAAAAAAAAAAAGAAATCTATCATTATTGTACATAATGTGAAAAATACATAAATGTACTCTTTAGTATCAGCTCATGAAACTTTTTGTCCAGTCCATACCAATTTAGTTATCTTTAAACTATTATCTTTTTTTTTTTTTGTGGTGGTAAGTGCTGACAGTCATAAATCGCAGGTCATAGGTCAAAGAGAAGTATACATTTACAGTTTCTCGTTTGTCACTAAACAGTTACCTCAACATCTGAGAACATCTTGACTTGCTTCGGACAAGCTGCACTAACTTTACCTAATCATTCCCCATTTAACACAAATAAGACCAAACATCTTACACTGTCTATGCTCTCCTCTGGCAGAGTTCAGAAGAGCTTGGTGCAGACGGCTGTTCTTTTCCACTCCCTCCTCCAGCTTCCTATAAATCCTCTGTACTGACAATATCTCAGTGGACAGTGCCTCGGTATTGATTCCATGCCTGGGAAGTCATGAGAGGTCATTTAAAAGACGGTAATTGATGAAAGAAGACAACTGAGATGTTGAAATTTTAATGTATAAAATAAACATTCTTTGAATATTGTGTACAAAACAGAAGAAAAATGTTGACATTCTACCAGATCTGAACATGGAAGAAAACTAGTTCTGAAACAATATCAATCCCCATCTGGGTTCTGGGGCCCGATTGTGGGGTAAACAAGAAGAGACCCAGTGCCTTCCCAACATGCATGTCGACTATTTAGGGGGATTTTTTTTTCCCCGAAATCAGAGTGCATAAGCCTGAGAGGCAGAGAACTAACAGTCAGCATAACATAAGCCAGATCTGTAAAAAGAATGTGCACACAACACTCAGATTCTAGACTTTTGTCGGAGTTTACAGGAAGTAAAATACTTTTGTCATTTCTTCATATTTTTTTTCTCTGTCTGTACTGTGCACTTCAAAGGAAGATGGTTGGCACATTGTGTGGTGGTTCACAGCCAGGTTATGACATCAGCATTTTCGACCCGACACAGGTAGCTGGGGTCCTATAACCCGCACCAGGTGCTGAAGTCTTTTAACCCACATGGGGGGGGGGGGGAGCTGGGATCCTATTAACAAACTTGGAAGGAAAACTGGCAAGAAGAGAACGTGACACCATCATTACGACATGGCCTGAAAAATGTGAGGAAGCCACCGTGATATAGTGGCTAGATGCTCACCTGTGGGTCTGAAGGCCATGGGTTCAAACAGCGCCAAACTTTTTTCTTTAAATGAACTTGGCTCCCAGGTCGACCCGGCCTTAAATGGGAACCAGGTAAGGTCATGAGAAGTAAAGGCAGCCGGCATGATGTTGACCACATCACCCACCGAGTGCGGATTGGTCTATAAAATAAAGGCCTAGCAGTACATGCCCAACATGCCTGAAGGTGTAGAAAAGGTGCCTATTTTTTTTCCCCATAAGGAACAGATAGACAAAACTCACCCAGACTGGTCCAAATCCCTCAGTGGTAGCTGTAAGGTAGCCAGAGAACTGATCTCCTGCCTCAACAAATCCATCAACATCTTGATATCCTGCAGCAGGTTATGTGACAGCTCCTGCACCTGAAGAAAGTATAAACAAACATTAGCAACTCTTTCAGAACCAAGCAGGTGTAATTTCATCTCACTGCATTTACACAAGATGCCACCTTAACCCTACCACCCCAGAAACGTGGGGGAAAATGGGGCACTGAACCTAAGAATTTGCCCCCCAAAAAATCCCTTCAGGATCAAACAACCAATTTACAAATGCAAATGAAAACATTTTTAATCTGCTACTTATATATCTGAAAGTCAAATACACTCGGCAAACACATACAACTTAAGATCTTCAATTCTTGTGTGATTCCAGTGCTAACGTATGGATGCAAGAGTTAGAAAGCAACGGTAGCTCTAGATAGAACACCTGACAATTATGAGAACAGATATCTTAGAAGAACACTAAATTTCCACTGGACAGATTTCAGATCCAATGTACAAATAAGACAAGAGACCAAGCAAGGTAATATATCCAGCTTTATAAGAAAGAGCCGCTGGAACTACATTGGCCATGCACTCAAAATGGATAAGACAAGACTCCCCAATCAAGCCCTCATATGACACCGGAAGGGGCAAGAAAATGGAAAGACAAAGAAAGACCCTGCCTAGAACCATCACCAGGGAAGGCTTAACCATGGGTCTAACGAACATCCAAGACCTAAAACAGGTGGCAGTGAACCGCCAGACATGAAGAGCTATGACCTCTGCCCTTTGCGCCACCTTAGGCTCAAGAGGAAAGATTAACTAATTTATATATAAACATTCTGCATATATTTAAGAATTATTCAGACATATATGGAGGGTTTCACCCAGCCTCTAGGAACTGGGTACCAGAGTTGACACTCTGGGATGAATGGAGGAATGTCGCTGTAGCTACAGAGTTACATGCGGACGGCAACACAGGTGGTCAGTTTCTTATCAGATGTCCATACTGGTTGCAAAGCACCTATGGTTTATAACCGTGTGCAATGACGCTGGTTCATATCTCCCGACTTTACCTTTTTATTCACTTAACTGTGTGGGTCTGCACTAGCTAAACTGTGTGGACCTGTATTTGTTTAACTGTGTGGACCTGTATTTGTTTAACAGTGTGGACCTGTATTTGTTTAACAGTGTGGACCTGTATTTGTTTAACTGTGTGGACATGTATTTGTTTAACTGTGTGGACATGTATTTGCTTAACTGTGTGGACCTGTATTTGTTTAACAGTGTGGACCTGTATTTGTTTAACTGTGTGGACATGTATTTGTTTAACTGTGTGGACATGTATTTGCTTAACTGTGTGGACCTGTATTTGTTTAACTGTGTGGACATGTATTTGTTTAACTGTGTGAACCTGTATTTGCTAAACTGTGTGGACCTGTATTTGTTTAACTGTGTGGACCTGTATTTGTTTAACTGTGTGGACCTGTATTTGTTTAACTGTGTGGACCTGTATTTGTTTAACTGTGTGGACCTGTATTTGTTTAACTGTGTGGACATGTATTTGCTTAACGGTGTGGACATGTATTTGTTTAACTGTGTGGACCTGTATTTGCTTAACTGTGTGGACCTGTATTTACTTACTGTGTGGACCTGTATTTGTTTAACTGTTTGAACCTGTATTCACTTAACTGTATCGACCTGTATTCACTTAGCTGTGTGGGTCTGTATTCACTTGTTTCGACCTGTATTCGCTAAACTGTGTGACCCTGTATTCACTTAACTGTGTGAACCTGTATTTGCTTAACTGTGTGGACCTGTATTTGCTTAACTGTGTGGACCTGTATTTGCTTAACTGTGTGGACATGTACACACTTAGCTGTGTGGACCTGTATTTGTTTAACTGTGTGGACCTGTATTTGTTTAACTGTGTGGACCTGTATTTGTTTAACTGTGTGGACCTGTATTTGTTTAACTGTGTGGACCTGTATTTGTTTAACTGTGTGGACCTGTATTTGTTTAACTGTGTGGACCTGTATTTGTTTAACTGTGTGGACCTGTATTTGTTCAACTGTGTGGACCTGTATTCACTTAACTGTGTGGACCTGTATTTGTTCAACTGTGTGGACCTGTATTCACTTAACTGTGTGAACCTGTATTCGCTAAACTGTGTGGACCTGTATTCACTTAGCTGTGTGGGTCTGTATTCACTTGTTTCGACCTGTATTCGCTAAACTGTGTGACCCTGTATTCACTTAACTGTGTGGACCTGTATTCACTTAACTGTGTGGGTCTGTATTCACTTGTTTCGACCTGTATTCACTAAACTGTGTGACCCTGTATTCACTTAACTGTGTGAACCTGTATTCGCTAAACTGTGTGGACCTGTATTCACTTAACTGTGTGGGTCTGTATTCACTTAGCTGTGTGGGTCTGTATTCACTTGTTTCGACCTGTATTCGCTAAACTGTGTGACCCTGTATTCACTTAACTGTGTGAACCTGTATTCGCTAAACTGTGTGGACCTGTATTCACTTAACTGTATCGACCTGTATTCACTTAGCTGTGTGGGTCTGTATTCACTTGTTTCGACCTGTATTCGCTAAACTGTGTGGACCTGTATTCACTTAACTGTGTGGACCTGTATTCACTTAACTGTGTGAACCTGTATTCGCTAAACTGTGTGGACCTCTATTCATTTAACTGTGTGGACTTGTATTCACTTAACTGTGTGGGTCTGTATTCACTTGTTTCGACCTGTATTCGCTAAACTGTGTGACCCTGTATTCACTTAACTGTGTGAACCTGTATTCGCTTAACTGTGTGAACCTGTATTCACTTAACTGTGTGGACCTGTATTCACTTAGCTGTGTGGGTCTGTATTCACTTGTTTCAACCTGTATTCACTTAACTGTGTGGACCTGTATTCGCTTAACTGTGTGGACCTGTATTCGCTAAACTGTGTGGACCTGTATTCACTTAACTGTGTGGACCTGTATTCACTTAACTGTGTGGACCTGTATTCACTTAGCTGTGTGGGTCTGTATTCACTTAACTGTGTGAACCTGTATTTACTTAACTGTGTGGACCTGTATTCACTTAACTGTGTGGACCTGTATTCACTAAACTGTGTGAACCTGTATTCGCTAAACTGTGTGGACCTGTATTCACTTAACTGTGTGGACCTGTATTCACTTAGCTGTGTGGGTCTGTATTCACTTGACTGTTTTGACCTGTATTCGCTAAACTGTGTGGACCTGTATTCACTAAACTGTGTGGACCTGTATTCACTTAGCTGTGTGGGTCTGTATTCACTTGACTGTTTTGACCTGTATTCGCTAAACTGTGTGGACCTGTATTCGCTAAACTGTGTGGACCTGTATTCACTCAGAGACACAGAAACCAGACACAGGACAGTAGACACATTTGCTCACATCAACGCCACCAAGACCGCTCAAAGTCTCCCTCATCCTCTCAACAGTTTCTCTCTGATGGTCGTTCAACCATGCTGTGTGCTTCTCCATGGTCTGTCAACACATTAACAATCTTTGTTAAAACTATAATTTACTAACTCGAGCGGATCATCATTCAGTTGCAATGGTTTCCCCCCCCCCCCCCCCCCCCCCCCCCCCCCCCCCCCCCCCCCCCCCCCCCCCCCCCCCCCCCCCCCCCCCCCCCCCCCCCCCCCCCCCCCCCCCCCCCCCCCCCCCCCCCCCCCCCCCCCCCCCCCCCCCCCCCCCCCCCCCCCCCCCCCCCCCCCCCCCCCCCCCCCCCCCCCCCCCCCCCCCCCCCCCCCCCCCCCCCCCCCCCCCCCCCCCCCCCCCCCCCCCCCCCCCCCCCCCCCCCCCCCCCCCCCCCCCCCCCCCCCCCCCCCCCCCCCCCCCCCCCCCCCCCCCCCCCCCCCCCCCCCCCCCCCCCCCCCCCCCCCCCCCCCCCCCCCCCCCCCCCCCCCCCCCCCCCCCCCCCCCCCCCCCCCCCCCCCCCCCCCCCCCCCCCCCCCCCCCCCCCCCCCCCCCCCCCCCCCCCCCCCCCCCCCCCCCCCCCCCCCCCCCCCCCCCCCCCCCCCCCCCCCCCCCCCCCCCCCCCCCCCCCCCCCCCCCCCCCCCCCCCCCCCCCCCCCCCCCCCCCCCCCCCCCCCCCCCCCCCCCCCCCCCCCCCCCCCCCCCCCCCCCCCCCCCCCCCCCCCCCCCCCCCCCCCCCCCCCCCCCCCCCCCCCCCCCCCCCCCCCCCCCCCCCCCCCCCCCCCCCCCCCCCCCCCCCCCCCCCCCCCCCCCCCCCCCCCCCCCCCCCCCCCCCCCCCCCCCCCCCCCCCCCCCCCCCCCCCCCCCCCCCCCCCCCCCCCCCCCCCCCCCCCCCCCCCCCCCCCCCCCCCCCCCCCCCCCCCCCCCCCCCCCCCCCCCCCCCCCCCCCCCCCCCCCCCCCCCCCCCCCCCCCCCCCCCCCCCCCCCCCCCCCCCCCCCCCCCCCCCCCCCCCCCCCCCCCCCCCCCCCCCCCCCCCCCCCCCCCCCCCCCCCCCCCCCCCCCCCCCCCCCCCCCCCCCCCCCCCCCCCCCCCCCCCCCCCCCCCCCCCCCCCCCCCCCCCCCCCCCCCCCCCCCCCCCCCCCCCCCCCCCCCCCCCCCCCCCCCCCCCCCCCCCCCCCCCCCCCCCCCCCCCCCCCCCCCCCCCCCCCCCCCCCCCCCCCCCCCCCCCCCCCCCCCCCCCCCCCCCCCCCCCCCCCCCCCCCCCCCCCCCCCCCCCCCCCCCCCCCCCCCCCCCCCCCCCCCCCCCCCCCCCCCCCCCCCCCCCCCCCCCCCCCCCCCCCCCCCCCCCCCCCCCCCCCCCCCCCCCCCCCCCCCCCCCCCCCCCCCCCCCCCCCCCCCCCCCCCCCCCCCCCCCCCCCCCCCCCCCCCCCCCCCCCCCCCCCCCCCCCCCCCCCCCCCCCCCCCCCCCCCCCCCCCCCCCCCCCCCCCCCCCCCCCCCCCCCCCCCCCCCCCCCCCCCCCCCCCCCCCCCCCCCCCCCCCCCCCCCCCCCCCCCCCCCCCCCCCCCCCCCCCCCCCCCCCCCCCCCCCCCCCCCCCCCCCCCCCCCCCCCCCCCCCCCCCCCCCCCCCCCCCCCCCCCCCCCCCCCCCCCCCCCCCCCCCCCCCCCCCCCCCCCCCCCCCCCCCCCCCCCCCCCCCCCCCCCCCCCCCCCCCCCCCCCCCCCCCCCCCCCCCCCCCCCCCCCCCCCCCCCCCCCCCCCCCCCCCCCCCCCCCCCCCCCCCCCCCCCCCCCCCCCCCCCCCCCCCCCCCCCCCCCCCCCCCCCCCCCCCCCCCCCCCCCCCCCCCCCCCCCCCCCCCCCCCCCCCCCCCCCCCCCCCCCCCCCCCCCCCCCCCCCCCCCCCCCCCCCCCCCCCCCCCCCCCCCCCCCCCCCCCCCCCCCCCCCCCCCCCCCCCCCCCCCCCCCCCCCCCCCCCCCCCCCCCCCCCCCCCCCCCCCCCCCCCCCCCCCCCCCCCCCCCCCCCCCCCCCCCCCCCCCCCCCCCCCCCCCCCCCCCCCCCCCCCCCCCCCCCCCCCCCCCCCCCCCCCCCCCCCCCCCCCCCCCCCCCCCCCCCCCCCCCCCCCCCCCCCCCCCCCCCCCCCCCCCCCCCCCCCCCCCCCCCCCCCCCCCCCCCCCCCCCCCCCCCCCCCCCCCCCCCCCCCCCCCCCCCCCCCCCCCCCCCCCCCCCCCCCCCCCCCCCCCCCCCCCCCCCCCCCCCCCCCCCCCCCCCCCCCCCCCCCCCCCCCCCCCCCCCCCCCCCCCCCCCCCCCCCCCCCCCCCCCCCCCCCCCCCCCCCCCCCCCCCCCCCCCCCCCCCCCCCCCCCCCCCCCCCCCCCCCCCCCCCCCCCCCCCCCCCCCCCCCCCCCCCCCCCCCCCCCCCCCCCCCCCCCCCCCCCCCCCCCCCCCCCCCCCCCCCCCCCCCCCCCCCCCCCCCCCCCCCCCCCCCCCCCCCCCCCCCCCCCCCCCCCCCCCCCCCCCCCCCCCCCCCCCCCCCCCCCCCCCCCCCCCCCCCCCCCCCCCCCCCCCCCCCCCCCCCCCCCCCCCCCCCCCCCCCCCCCCCCCCCCCCCCCCCCCCCCCCCCCCCCCCCCCCCCCCCCCCCCCCCCCCCCCCCCCCCCCCCCCCCCCCCCCCCCCCCCCCCCCCCCCCCCCCCCCCCCCCCCCCCCCCCCCCCCCCCCCCCCCCCCCCCCCCCCCCCCCCCCCCCCCCCCCCCCCCCCCCCCCCCCCCCCCCCCCCCCCCCCCCCCCCCCCCCCCCCCCCCCCCCCCCCCCCCCCCCCCCCCCCCCCCCCCCCCCCCCCCCCCCCCCCCCCCCCCCCCCCCCCCCCCCCCCCCCCCCCCCCCCCCCCCCCCCCCCCCCCCCCCCCCCCCCCCCCCCCCCCCCCCCCCCCCCCCCCCCCCCCCCCCCCCCCCCCCCCCCCCCCCCCCCCCCCCCCCCCCCCCCCCCCCCCCCCCCCCCCCCCCCCCCCCCCCCCCCCCCCCCCCCCCCCCCCCCCCCCCCCCCCCCCCCCCCCCCCCCCCCCCCCCCCCCCCCCCCCCCCCCCCCCCCCCCCCCCCCCCCCCCCCCCCCCCCCCCCCCCCCCCCCCCCCCCCCCCCCCCCCCCCCCCCCCCCCCCCCCCCCCCCCCCCCCCCCCCCCCCCCCCCCCCCCCCCCCCCCCCCCCCCCCCCCCCCCCCCCCCCCCCCCCCCCCCCCCCCCCCCCCCCCCCCCCCCCCCCCCCCCCCCCCCCCCCCCCCCCCCCCCCCCCCCCCCCCCCCCCCCCCCCCCCCCCCCCCCCCCCCCCCCCCCCCCCCCCCCCCCCCCCCCCCCCCCCCCCCCCCCCCCCCCCCCCCCCCCCCCCCCCCCCCCCCCCCCCCCCCCCCCCCCCCCCCCCCCCCCCCCCCCCCCCCCCCCCCCCCCCCCCCCCCCCCCCCCCCCCCCCCCCCCCCCCCCCCCCCCCCCCCCCCCCCCCCCCCCCCCCCCCCCCCCCCCCCCCCCCCCCCCCCCCCCCCCCCCCCCCCCCCCCCCCCCCCCCCCCCCCCCCCCCCCCCCCCCCCCCCCCCCCCCCCCCCCCCCCCCCCCCCCCCCCCCCCCCCCCCCCCCCCCCCCCCCCCCCCCCCCCCCCCCCCCCCCCCCCCCCCCCCCCCCCCCCCCCCCCCCCCCCCCCCCCCCCCCCCCCCCCCCCCCCCCCCCCCCCCCCCCCCCCCCCCCCCCCCCCCCCCCCCCCCCCCCCCCCCCCCCCCCCCCCCCCCCCCCCCCCCCCCCCCCCCCCCCCCCCCCCCCCCCCCCCCCCCCCCCCCCCCCCCCCCCCCCCCCCCCCCCCCCCCCCCCCCCCCCCCCCCCCCCCCCCCCCCCCCCCCCCCCCCCCCCCCCCCCCCCCCCCCCCCCCCCCCCCCCCCCCCCCCCCCCCCCCCCCCCCCCCCCCCCCCCCCCCCCCCCCCCCCCCCCCCCCCCCCCCCCCCCCCCCCCCCCCCCCCCCCCCCCCCCCCCCCCCCCCCCCCCCCCCCCCCCCCCCCCCCCCCCCCCCCCCCCCCCCCCCCCCCCCCCCCCCCCCCCCCCCCCCCCCCCCCCCCCCCCCCCCCCCCCCCCCCCCCCCCCCCCCCCCCCCCCCCCCCCCCCCCCCCCCCCCCCCCCCCCCCCCCCCCCCCCCCCCCCCCCCCCCCCCCCCCCCCCCCCCCCCCCCCCCCCCCCCCCCCCCCCCCCCCCCCCCCCCCCCCCCCCCCCCCCCCCCCCCCCCCCCCCCCCCCCCCCCCCCCCCCCCCCCCCCCCCCCCCCCCCCCCCCCCCCCCCCCCCCCCCCCCCCCCCCCCCCCCCCCCCCCCCCCCCCCCCCCCCCCCCCCCCCCCCCCCCCCCCCCCCCCCCCCCCCCCCCCCCCCCCCCCCCCCCCCCCCCCCCCCCCCCCCCCCCCCCCCCCCCCCCCCCCCCCCCCCCCCCCCCCCCCCCCCCCCCCCCCCCCCCCCCCCCCCCCCCCCCCCCCCCCCCCCCCCCCCCCCCCCCCCCCCCCCCCCCCCCCCCCCCCCCCCCCCCCCCCCCCCCCCCCCCCCCCCCCCCCCCCCCCCCCCCCCCCCCCCCCCCCCCCCCCCCCCCCCCCCCCCCCCCCCCCCCCCCCCCCCCCCCCCCCCCCCCCCCCCCCCCCCCCCCCCCCCCCCCCCCCCCCCCCCCCCCCCCCCCCCCCCCCCCCCCCCCCCCCCCCCCCCCCCCCCCCCCCCCCCCCCCCCCCCCCCCCCCCCCCCCCCCCCCCCCCCCCCCCCCCCCCCCCCCCCCCCCCCCCCCCCCCCCCCCCCCCCCCCCCCCCCCCCCCCCCCCCCCCCCCCCCCCCCCCCCCCCCCCCCCCCCCCCCCCCCCCCCCCCCCCCCCCCCCCCCCCCCCCCCCCCCCCCCCCCCCCCCCCCCCCCCCCCCCCCCCCCCCCCCCCCCCCCCCCCCCCCCCCCCCCCCCCCCCCCCCCCCCCCCCCCCCCCCCCCCCCCCCCCCCCCCCCCCCCCCCCCCCCCCCCCCCCCCCCCCCCCCCCCCCCCCCCCCCCCCCCCCCCCCCCCCCCCCCCCCCCCCCCCCCCCCCCCCCCCCCCCCCCCCCCCCCCCCCCCCCCCCCCCCCCCCCCCCCCCCCCCCCCCCCCCCCCCCCCCCCCCCCCCCCCCCCCCCCCCCCCCCCCCCCCCCCCCCCCCCCCCCCCCCCCCCCCCCCCCCCCCCCCCCCCCCCCCCCCCCCCCCCCCCCCCCCCCCCCCCCCCCCCCCCCCCCCCCCCCCCCCCCCCCCCCCCCCCCCCCCCCCCCCCCCCCCCCCCCCCCCCCCCCCCCCCCCCCCCCCCCCCCCCCCCCCCCCCCCCCCCCCCCCCCCCCCCCCCCCCCCCCCCCCCCCCCCCCCCCCCCCCCCCCCCCCCCCCCCCCCCCCCCCCCCCCCCCCCCCCCCCCCCCCCCCCCCCCCCCCCCCCCCCCCCCCCCCCCCCCCCCCCCCCCCCCCCCCCCCCCCCCCCCCCCCCCCCCCCCCCCCCCCCCCCCCCCCCCCCCCCCCCCCCCCCCCCCCCCCCCCCCCCCCCCCCCCCCCCCCCCCCCCCCCCCCCCCCCCCCCCCCCCCCCCCCCCCCCCCCCCCCCCCCCCCCCCCCCCCCCCCCCCCCCCCCCCCCCCCCCCCCCCCTCCTTTTACCCAGTGCTGCCATACCCTCCATTGCTTTCCATTCAATGCATCATGGCATTTGACGTGGCCAAAGTTTTCCAGTTTCTGAGACCGGACACTATTTTCGAGCCAATTTTCGGTGATGTTCAGATCTTTTTAGGATGCCAATATTTCTTTTCCCTGTTCTATGGAATTCTAAGAAAATTTCTTTAGCATTTCTCAAAAGTCCCCTGTTTTTTTTTCTTTAAAGTGTGTATTCATATGGCTAGACAAGGTTGGTACAGTTATTCTCAAAAACTTTATCGAGACTGGCAATGATCTCTGATTCAGAAGGCAAACATTTTTTTTTTCTCACTGTGTCTCATCCTGAAACACGTTAGTCTTCAATACTTCATCAGTCAACCAACCAATTATTTTCTACTTTTACTGTCTCATTTACACAGGCATTAATCATTCTTGTCAACAGTTTCATTTAGACTTTCAGGAATCTTCTTGTTACTTGCTGTCCTTATCAACTGTCCAACCCATTTGTGCTCCGTCCTCCGATGCAGTAGCCGTCTCAGTGTCTCCATCCTCAATGTACTCAGCAGGGGTTGATTAGCACATCTTTTTTTCTTTGCCCCGCAACCGGTCTCTGTATGCTTGTCTTCATTTGATACACATCTCCAAAAGGTAGTTCCTCGTCTTTGACTTTCCTGTCTCAGTGTCTCTGGAATGCCGAACATTCGGTATGTCTGCCCTGTCCATACTTCTTTTTCTACTAACCACTGCCAATCTGTCTGCTCTTTCATTTCCTTTCACCCTGGTGTGTACGGCCAAGATACTTTCTTGAGATGGGACTTTTGGATACTGTCAACCCACTCTAGTGGGTTTGCCAGTTTGGATCTTCTTAAACCTGCTCACATTGAGTCTGTCACTATCAATGTGTAAATCATTTTCTGTTCCGCCAGCCATGCAAATGCCCCTGTGAGATCTCCCATCCCCATGAATCTTCTCTTACTGAGAAGCCAGCTATCTTCATGAATCTTCTCTCATTGAGAAGGCAAACAATGGACCACCAGCGTCTCACCTCAATCTGCATGTCCTTGCCAGTGAGTGCCACTCTCAAGGCCTGCAGTTCTCTCTCAAGTTCAAACAGCTCTCTCTTGTGTTCTGTAGACATCAGCTGAAAATAAAATTTACAGATACAAACTGTATTCTAAAAAAATATACTTGTTTAGTTTATAACTAATTTCCCATCTATACAACACCACTTTAAATGTTAATAAAATGGATAAAAATGACAAACAAAAGTTGGTAGATTTATGTTAATGCAGAATGTGCTGTCCTACCAGTGAACATGAAGAAGGAGATCTTCACAGCACTCCAGACAGATCCACAGGTGCTCGGATCTCCTCCTCAAAAGCTCCACAAGCATCAAATGACTGACAACGCCTGTTCTGTGTTGATTAATCAAAGGTCTTGTCCCCTTGGAGAAATGATCATTTCTTGAAGCTCCAGGCTGCACACCCCATCTCCATCAGTCTAGACAGAGATACGGTGTCATGCCCTTTGCTGTATTTGTCAGTGCTGCAGATGGCATTGATACTATTGCATCTGTACAGTACCACACCAGCCAGAGCAACAGCGGTTTCTGCAAGATAATCTGTCAAGCCAGCCGACATGATGTTGACCAGATCACCCAATAAGTGCTGATTTTATTTTTAAATATATATAAGTCTAGCTTCGCAACGCCTAATGTGACACTGCTGTTAAGTGTCCTTCACTTGTTTCATAAACTGTCTTGTGGAAGGGGTGGGTGGGTGGAAGAGGTGGAGTGGGCGGGTGTGCGTGCGTGTGTGTGTGTCCATATATATATATATATATATATATATATATATATATATATATATATATATATATATATATATATATATATATATATATATATATATATATATATATATATATATATATATATATATATATATAATTCCTTAACAAAAAACGAATAAAACACACCTAACAAGACAGCGGCCCAAGACAGACAGCAACAGGATCAAATGATGATGCATGATGCACACAGCAAAGTATATTTTGAAAAGTACTCATCATTATCATTACGTGCCCGGCCGACTGGCGTAGGCATTCATGCTTCTCCGCTCCTTGTCCTCTGGATCAGTTCCACTGATGATATCCCTCTGTGACACCGTCGCAATCCATCCGTCATTATCTCTCTCAGTCTGTCTCTCCCTCTTCTACAGTTAACCCTCCCCGTTGTCGCAATATTCTCCAAAGCCTCCTTCCTCATCTCATGACAAAAAAGAATAGTGCTTGTCTTTGACTTACACTAATAAAATAAGTTTCCAACAACAGTTTTGTTTTAACACAAATGTCCTTCCAGGTGTGTAAAAGAAACCTAAGTACAATGGTTACAACTCCAAACCTGTAAGTGACAAGTGAAACTAAGACATTAATAAAGTAAGTCAAGGTCCCTTAACACGCCAGTGGCCCATCAGGCATTTGACGCTAGACTAATATTTCTACAGACCAATCAGCCCTCGACATAACACTCACCACCTTTACTTCCCAGGAGTTCCACCTGGTACCCATTTCAGGCTGGGTAAACCTGGCAGCATAAGTCTTTTTGGAAGAAGAATACTCAACTACCATTTGAACATACACCCTTCAGCTTTACACAAAAATCTAGCATCATAAAGGTTTGAACCCACAATCTTCGGATTCACAGTTGAGCAGCTAGCACTATACCACGGGAGCTCCCAACATTAATAAAGGATGTGCTATAAAACAGGGCTTCCCAATTAGATGAGGCTCGTGGGCCTGCTCTCAGTTTCAAAGGTCTGTCAAAGACCTCATGGTTCTAAGTCATTAAAAAAATATATATATATAAAAAGTAAATCTATATTAAAAATATTAACTGCATGTCCTTTTTGGAACGATGCAAAACCAACCCCAGCCTTTTTTTTTTCTTGTTTGCTGTTGTGATTTTTCTAGGCAAATTTACAATCACTAGTTTGCCATTGCTACTGAACAGTCAGCTCTCGGTACAACTGTTGAAACCAATGCAAAGCGGTGTGCAGCCAATCGCCAGCAGCTAGAATCCAACCCGGCACACTGGCATTACGAAGCACATTCACAGCACCTATCCAGACTCAGATATCGACACAAATCAACATTTGGACTGGAAAACTAACAGTTTGAGGGTTGTTTTTTATATTGATTTTCCTCATGATATTATAATAAAGTTAAGGACGCTTTCCCACACCTTCAGGCGTATTGGGAATATAGGGCTAGACCTGTATTTTATAGACCAAACAGCATTCGGTGGATGATATGGTCAGCATCCTGCCGGCTGCCTTTACTTCACAGGACTCTACCTGGTACCCACTCAAGGCTGGGTCGACTTGGGAGCCAAGGTCTTTGGGGGGGGGGGGGAGGAGGAGGAGTCCGGCCTCTGTCAGGACCCAAATGCCAAACCCCTTAATGATACTACGGACTCCTTAATTTTGTTCCTCGGACTACCAGTTAAGAACCACTGCTATTCAATAAAATACCTCGATTTCTGCACCCTTCTCTTTGAGCCTATCCTGTAGATCTCCCACCACATCTCTGTCTCGGGTCAGGCCCAACAACTCCACGTTCTGACTCTAGGAAACATTCAACAGTAAATTAAGACATTAGTAAGATCAGTATTAGTAGAACCTCCCGCTGGCAACAACTTCAACAAACATCTATTCTTTACCTTTTCTTCTTCTTTTGTCATTTCAGTGGTACCAGGTTGTAGCCCAGTGTTGTGGTTTTCTGTGTTTGTCTTGCGCTTCTCGGGTGGCTTGGCTGATGGCTTTGTTATCTTTTTGCAGGTTTTGGCTATACTATTTATCCATCTCTTTCTTCGTCTTCCTCTCCCCTTCCTTCCAGATGTTCTGCTGTAAAAACTCTAATATGCAGTTTGGCCTGGCTGCATTCTCACTAGATGGCCAAACCATTTCCTACTTTGTCTATCAATATAATCCAGACATGGTCTTATTCGAACATTCTAATGTTGGTATTCATAACCCTGTTTCTTCTTGTGTTGTTAGTGACCTTGCAAAGACAGATCATTTCATTAGTTATTTGAAGCCCTACTCTGGCTCTTGCCAGGGGCCGCAATATAGCCCGGCCATAATTATAGTCTAATGGCTGAATGCAGTTTCTGGGACCTCTCCACAGGTGATCCTCATCCACATGGTGGAACTTTGTGTCATCGGGTGTTTATCCCTTGCGTGATGTCCTGGTGGGGTACAAGAAGATAGGTTGATAGATCATTTCATATGCAGTCATTCTCTTTCTTTACCTCTTCGATGCAGTTTTTATTTGTATTTTTTGCTAGTTTCGTAGCTTTTCTTAATGTCATTTTACATTTCTGTAGTGTCTCTTTCGTTCCCTCCATCCATCTCTTTCTTGGACGGTCTCTTGCCTTGTAGCCTGCTGTTCTCATGGAGTACGCTCTAGCTGCTGGCTGCTGATTTGTTCCATTCTGACCACATGACTAAACCATCTGATTCTGTGATGTTCTATGATATCCACAATTTGTATTAGTTTTTCCATTGGCGACTCTGCCTCTTCCTGTTTTTCCCCACCGCATTTCTTATACATCTCATCTCAGATGTAGGAATTTTGCATTTGTTTTTATAGGAATGTCCATGTCTGACACTGACAGCATAAGGTTAAAGATTAGTTGCGTATCCTTTATAGGAGATTGCAGAACCAACCCCCAGCAGCCCCTGGCTGTTGTGTGGTTTCACTAGGCAAATTTGCGTCTAGTAGTTTGCCATTGCTTTCTGGACGGTCAGTTCCCTGATAACACTGTCGAAACCAATGCAAGACGCTTGACCCCCAGCTGGGATCGAACCCAGCACTCCAGCATTACGAAGCGTACAGAGCCACAGAGCCGACCTGACAGCATTAAGCTGGAAGAATATTGTATTTATCACTATTATTTACCACCCATATGAAAAATCAGGGCTGTCATTATTACTTCAAATGAATATTTCTTGTGTAAGTCTTCACTGAGGTGCGGTAGAAGGGTTTCTAAGTTCCAGTCTCTAGTCCTCCTCATTGCAGTTTAATGGCCGTACATTCCGGTGGAAAGCTCTGGTTGTTCATCCACTTCTGAATCTGGGTCTTGTTCTAGAACTTTTTGCATGCAGACCCACTGGCCCCTTAACAAGCATGTCATAAGAAGTGACAAACTTGAAGCTGGAGTGCATCTGCCTGAGATGTGGGGAACCAAGATGCTGCATAATAAAAGGCCAGATCTGTAAAACTGATCTGCACACAAAACTCAAGTTCCGGAACAAGATCAAAGACCAGAAGTGGATGAACAACCAGAACTTTCCACCGGAGTTTACAACCGATAAACACTAAGATAAAGATATTCTTGTATTCTGGTGTAATGATTGTTTTAGGTACCCTTGCTGTGTGCTGAATTCACTTGCTGGTCAATAGTACCAGAAGCAGAGGCATGGTTGCCTACGCCAGTCGTAAAGGCAAGGCACTGGATGATGATGGTAACAGAGATGTGGGAAAGGGGTTCATGTTGCTTGAGGTGAGAGATGAGTGCAAAAGGTCTATGCTATGCACACAATTGTGAAAGAAGTTTTTCTGGAGTTTCACGACTAACAGCCGGTTGCACGCGCTTAGCGAGAACCATGCGGGGGCCGGACGCTGAACAGGAAGGAAACTATGCTTGTCCAGCTAGTGTCCCTCAGTCATTCAGATCGGTGGACGCATGTCCAAATGTCTGAATTTTTAGCAGTAATTATGCATATCATTTAAGTCCAGTGAAAGTTTAGCTTGTTCATTAGAATTTGGTGTATGAGTCGAAATGCTCCTGTTGCGTGTATTTTGTGGAGACAAGGCGTTGAGTGCCCAACATGTTATTTGCCACTATGATCACAGAAGTTGGGCAGTGATTGTTCTCTTCGCTCGGATCTTTCCTTCTAGAACTGTTACTGTGCAGACCTCCCAATGTCATTTGCTCAGCCAGCCAAAAGAAACATTCTGCATATTATTCATCACAATAGACCAAACTTCAAATGACTGCCTTTATTACCACTTTTGCAATGTAGGCAGGGGGAATCTTTGAGCCTGGGGATCTTTGGTCTCAAGGCTAGTGCTATCGTCATGACTGTGCAGGTGAGGACATTATTTTGCCCCCGACAGAAAAAATCCCTAGCCTTACCGAGGATTCGAAACCAGGTCTCCCGCTTAAGAGCCCAGCGTTCCAACCATTCGGCCAGTTGTTACACTATACTACAACCCTACTTTATGCACTTCACAAATGGCCAGCCACCATCATCTGTTCTACATAGCAAAATCTTTACCCGATTTCATTCTGATCACAGCCTACAGGTTACATTCTTGTTCCTCTATGACCTGCCTGCTATCCTCAGAATAACGGCCCCAAATTATCGAGGCCGAAAATATACCCTAACAGGGCCTCAGTCACATGTCAATTGCGGACTTCTGAGGACTATACAGCCACTGTCAAATTGCGGACTTCCGGGGACTATACCCCCACTGCTCGTAAGTCCCAGCCATCTAGTTTAGCCCCAATCCACGCCGCGCATAGCGTATATTTTCTGCCTCGATAATTTGGGACTGTTATTCAGAGGATAGCCGACCTGCCTTTCATGTGTTTTGTATTCCTTCCAAGTCTTTAGAATTCTGTGTACACCAAAATACTGACAGGTTCTGGTCCTATCCTGCAGAAACCAAGCCTTTTATTACCATTCTTTCTAAACTATTAGTTCATTTGACAGCTATTGATTTAACAACACATTAATGAACACAATATTATGGTAAAAGTCTACAACAACATATTAATTAACACACTGCTGCAGTAAAAGTCTACAACAACAAATAATGAACACAATGTTATGGTAAAGGTCAACAACAACAACATATCAATGAACACACTGCTGCAGTAAAAGTCTACAACAAAAACATATTAATGAGCACACTGCTGCAGTAAAAGTCTACAACAAAAACATATTAATGAGCACACTGTTGCAGTAAAAGTCTACAACAAAAACATATTAATGAGCACACTGTTGCAGTAAAAGTCAACAACACATCAATGAACAAACTGCTGCAGTAAAAGTCTACAACAACAACATATTAATGAGCACACTGTTGCAGTAAAAGTCAACAACAACAACACATCAATGAACAAACTGCTGCAGTAAAAGTCTACAACAACACATTAATGAGCACACTGTTGGGGTAAAAGTCAACAACAACACATCAATGAACAAACTGCTGCAGTAAAAGTCTACAGCAACAACATACTAAGGAACACAATGTTATGGTGAAAGTCTATAACAACATAATAATAAAAACAATTTTATGGTAAAAGTCTACAACAACAACAACATATTAATTGAAACAATGTTATGGTAAAAGTCAACAACAACAACATTTTACTGAACACCAGTTACAGTAACAACGACAACAGCCACAATACTTACAGCAATTAGCTTCTGTAGATCAACAATTTGCTGGCGGAGTCCTTCCAGCTCGCCGCCATGCTCTGATTTGTTGTTCACTGATATCTGAGTTAGCAATAACCAACAATATCAAGCCAAAGACTAAGTGATTTTTCTGGTATGTAAAAACTATTAAAAGCAGCTCAGGGTCTAGCGATTTTCCAATATATAAAAGTGATTAAAGGGAGCCGAGGGTCTAGTGATTTTCTGTTATGTATAAGTGATTACATGAAGCCAGGGTCTAGTGATTTTCCCGTACGTAAAAGTGATTAAACGGAGTCAAGGGTCTAGTGATTTTCCCGTACGTAAAAGTGATTAGAGGAAGTTGAGGGTCTAGTAATTTTCTGGTAAGTAAAATCGATTAAAGGGAGCCAAGGGTCTAGTGATTTTTCTCATATGTAAAAAAGGGGCTCTGTGTGGGCTCGAGGCATGGTGTCCGCCTCGAGTGCTAGAGGTTCCGGGTTCAATTCCCGGAGAGGATGGAGGCAGGCAGATGATGAATACAGAGTATGGAGGCAGGCAGATGATAGAGGTAGAGGATGTAGGCAGAGGATGAGGTTACCTGGAAGTGGACTGCCTGCTCCTTCAGTCTGTTGTCAAAGTCTGCTCTCTCTCCTCTCAGCTGTGCTTGTAAGGCCTAACAGTAAATGCATTAAAACAGTTGTACACCTTGTTTATGTGTGCCTTTGCATGCATGAAAACAGTTGTACACCTTGTTAAGGTGTGTGTTGGCATGCATGAAAACAGTTGTACACCTTGTTTAAGTGTGTCTGCATGCATGAAAACAGTTGTAAACCTTGTTAAGGTGTGCGTTGGCATGCATGAAAACAGTTGTACACCTTGTTAAGGTGTGTGTTGGCATGCATGAAAACAGTTGTACACCTTGTTTAAGTGTGTCTGCATGCATGAAAACAGTTGTAAACCTTGTTAAGGTGTGCGTTGGCATGCATGAAAACAGTTGTACACCTTGTTAAGGTGTGCGTTGGCATGCATGAAAACAGTTGTACACCTTGTTTATGTGTGCCTTTGCATGCATGGAAACAGTTGTATACCTTGTTTATGTGTTTTTTCATGCATGAAAACAGCTGTACACCTTGTTTATGTCTGTCTTTGCATGCATGGAAAAAGTTGTACACCTTGTTAATGTGTGTGTTTAACTTCAAATATTAATTAGAGTTGAAAGGGCCCCCCACCCCTTTTGTGTGCGTGCGTGTATGTGTGCGCGCGTGAGCGTGTGCATGTGTATGCATGTGTGTGTGCGTGCGCGTGTGTGTGTGTGTAGGTATATATGTCTACAAACAGATGTGTCTTTGTAGTGTGTATGCATGTGTGTATAAAATAGTTTATACATGGGTATATGAGTGTATATACACATGCATGTGTGTTAATGTGGATGTATCTATACATGCATGCATAAATATGTGTATTGAATGAATATATCACCCATGCTTTTCTATATTTTACTTGATTTTGCTTGATATTCATAAATAAATATTGCTATTTGAACACAGCATTCTTCAAATACATTTGCTGTGTGAAAGACGAGTGTTTGAGTGGGCAGAATGCGAGGCAGGCGTGCGTGCCCAGTTTGTGACTTTGAAAATAAACAATTGTTAGTCCTTTCATTCATTCTCTCTCGCTCACTCCCACACACACAAAGCTAAAAGAAACAGCTACATTTATATCTGTAATGACCAATTTCACATGGCAAGGGCTATAAAAATATACACTTTTTTTTTATATCCAGAAACCATGAGTTGTAAACCCTTTGGCTCGGTACTATGGATATCGCAATCCTTGGGCCTTAATTTCATGATAGATACCGTAAATCTGGGAGACATGTGGCTTTTCTGCCAACCCCAGGAATGAACCCAAACCACAAGGAGTTAGTCACCCGGTCGCCGCAAAGTCAGGTTTAACCAACTATGCTAGCGAGCACACACATTGTTAAACACAAGTCCAGTAGTCAACAAACAAAAATAACAAGTAACTACTGCATCATAAACTAAACATGCACACAAATAAAAAAATTAAAAAAAAAAAAATATCACTATACGAAGAACTGCAGCCGCTGAGATCAAGAAGATGTTACTTGTTATCCATAGCAACATCCTAGCACACTGGTCCAACTCACTCGTGCACCAGCTTCTGATGTAGCAGCTGCTATCTCCGTGTCATCATGCTCACAAAAAAGCCCAGTAGGAGCTGATTAACAAATCTTATTTCTTTGCCCTGCAACTGTTTTCTGCCAGCAGGTCCTGGTTTAATCCCAATCTCCAATAGGTAGTTAATCATCTCTGACTCCTTTGACTCAACATCTCTGGAAGACAGCCCATTCAGTATGTCTGCCCTGTCCATACTTCTTCAACCACTAACCACTATAGACACGGCCAGTCTGGCGGCCAGTCTCACGGCTCTTTTATTTCCTTTCACTTCAGCCTGTCCTAGTGTGTACAACCAAGATAGTTTCACATCAAGAAGATGTGAGAAACATTAATTAAAGGTAGAGGTTCCTTGTCCACACCTTCAAGCAAACTGGGCATATAGGGTTAGACCTATGTTTTATATATCAATCTGCACACAGTAGGTCACCATCATCCCGTCCATCTTTACTTCCCAGGACTTTACCTGGTACCCATTTAAGAGGACCACGTTAGTGCAGAAAAAATCTGGCTTTGTCAGGATCAGAACCCACGACCTTCAGATCCACAAGCAAGTGTCTAGCCGCTACACCACGGCTGCACCCCCCATTTACAGGTGGCTTCAAAATCAAAAGTATACATGATCCTGCTGCCACGAAACATGATCTTGCTGCTACAAAATATGATTTCGCTGCTACAAAACATGATCTTGCTTGCTGCTACAAAATATGATTTTGCTGCTACAAAACATGATCTTGCTTCTACAAAATATGATTTCGCTGCTACAAAACATGATCTTGCTGCTATAAAATATGATTTCGCTGCTACAAAACATGATCTTGCTGCTACAAAATATGATTTCGCTGCTACAAAACATGATATTGCTGCTACAAAATATGATTTCGCTGCTACAAAACATGATCTTGCTGCTACAAAATATGATTTCGCTGCTACAAAACATGATCTTGCTGCTACAAAACATGATCTTGCTGCTACAAAACATGATCTTGCTGCTACAAAATATGATTTCGCTGCTTCAAAACATGATCTTGCTGCTATAAAACAAGCTCCAAACAGTCACAGAAAATACCTCAACTGCTTCCTCGCTCTTGGTCAGTGCATCAATGGCTGTGGACAGCCGCTCCTGGAAGCCAGCCAGCTCCCCTTCCTTCTTGCCCAGAGACTTCACCAGGTTCTAGTTGGGATGTCAGAAAACAGTTCAGTTCCACATTAACCGTTTCCATAAAAACAGATTACCTGCCATAAACTCGTCGTCATTAGGTAAGCAGAATGAAGAGGTGTTAAACCATATGTAGGGGTGGTCACAAGGACCAGGACTAAACTGGTCAAGGGATACAGAGGTGATATATCACATATGTGGGTGGGCACTGCAACCAGGGTTCATACTGGTCAAAGGATGTAGTATGATGATGAATCACATGCTGAATGTTGAATTAAGAATCGACATTACAGCATAAGCGCTCCGTCCCCATCTCCAGCACCAAGCGAAGAGTTAAAATTACGATGGTTCCAGTAACTGTCTGATTGTATATCTATCTTGCCTTTCTCCATGAGTGTCAAGCGTCAGCCAGATCCCCTTGAAACTCCTCGCCGAGCCATTCTCCTCAGACCGTAATGATCTATCTGTTCCTCGGCACTGTTCACTGGCTCTCGAAGAACCCTAACAACATCTAGCTTGTCATACATCAGTTCACCACCAAGTGGTGCAGAACCCGCCATGTGATGAATCACACATGGATATGTACCAGGACTAAGTCTCATAGTGGTCAAGGGATGAAGAGATGATGAATCACATATGAAGATGCACCAGGACTAGGTCTCATAGTAGTCAAGGGATGAAGAGATGATGAATCACATATGGAGATGTACCAGGACTAGGTCTCATAGTAGTCAAGAGATGATGAATCACATAAGGGGATGCACCAGGACTAGGTCTCATAGTAGTCAAGAGATGAAAAGATGATGAATCACATACACAGATGCATCAGGACTCAACTGGAAAAGACCTATTTACATGTACCCACCAACATCCCAGAAACAGGTCCCCAACTGGAAAGAAAGGGGGTGGGGGAGGGGGGAGAGAACCATGGCCAACATAGGTGGAGTCCTCATTTCGTTCACAAGAGTATATCAGCCTGATAGGCCAGCAACAACAAAAGTCTGCACACAAAGCCAGATCTGTCAAAGCGGACTTGCATGCAAAACTCAAGTCTTGGAACAAGACCAAAGTCCAGAAGTGGGGGAACAACCAGGATTTTCTACTGGAGATTGTTTTCATTTTACTGAGAGTTTCATTAATCATGCACTATCCATTTTTCCAGCATGAAGACTGGTGCAGTCTGGGCTGGGATTGGAACCAGTAATTTCAGAGCCTGAGGCGGACATCATAACCTCCGGCAGAAAGTTCTGGGTGTTCGTCCACCTCTGAACTTTTAGTCTTATTCCAGAATCTGAGTGTTGCTTGCGCGTCTGTTGCCCAGATCTGGTTTATTTGTATGCAGACTCTTGGCTTTTTGCCTCTCAAGCAGACGTACTACAAAACCCCCCCCCCCTTCCCACTAATTAGTCGACTCCTACGATATGCTTGTTGGAGTGGTAGAGGGTTTGTTCTTGTTTCACCCACAACAGGGCCCCGGGAACAGACACAGAATTTTCTTGTTCATGCGTGTAAGTTAAAGCAATAAATACTCATGTGAAACCTTCTCATAATGAGGTTACAGAAAGCTAAAAGCATTATGGCAGCTTTCCGTCCTTCCAGACGACATAGTTTCATTATGCTATGTAGAGGCATGGGAACCACAACCAATGGTTGCCTGCATCTGCATCAGCCCAAAAGGAAACAAGCCATAATCTGATATCCAATTAATCATTCAATCAATCATTTAATGGATCTCTGAATTTTAGCTTAATAAAACAAAATAAAATTTGAAAAATACACACACAGGCAGCATTCCAGTTACAAATCAAATCAAAGTTCACAACAAACAACAAATGTTGCAAAGGTATCTATAAAAATTGTTTTACATTTTATTATGTTAAAAAAAATGCATTGTTATTTTGAAAATAACAAAAAGAGGGGACTTGTATTTTGAAAAATATTTTGAAAAATAACACACAAAATAAAACTTGAATAATAACGGTCAAGAAAGTGGAAAGGAAAAAAAATTTTAATTTTTTTAAAAAGGTACCATTACAAACCAGTGGCACCTCGTGAATATGAAATTATACATATTTCCCTAGACCAATGGGCCCTCGACGTGTGATGTGGTCGACATATCCCAGCCACCAGGACATTATACCTAGTACCCATGTGAGGCTGGCTCAACCTGAGAACCAAACTCAATACTCAGAGACAGAGACAAATCTTCCATGATGCAGATTTGAACACAAGACCTTTGGGCTAGCAGACAAGCATCTAACCACACTGCTACTGCGGTGTGGAGGTAGAAAAGACAATTATAGTTGTTATAGATTTTGCAGCAAAGATGGTTTGAAAATCGGCATTCAGCAGCTATGCGTAGGCAATTTATTTTCTACACTTATGACTCAGCGTCTGTGTCTTAGGCATTGTGAATGCGCTTTGTAATGCCGGAGTGCCCGGTTCAATACCAGCTCCAGACGGTTTGTCTTGCGGTAGTTTTGACAGTGGCACTGAGAGCTGACCAATGAGAAAGCAATGGCAAACTACTGGACATCAAATGTGCCTAGAAAAACCACAACAGCCCAAAAATACTGGTGTTGGCTCTGCAACTTCCTGTAAAGGATACGCAACTAACTTTCAACTTATGACCAACACCTAACAATAAATTCTAGAGGAAGAGCGTAGGATACCTCAGACGTCTCATTGGCTTCAGTCAGTTGGTGCAGCAGTCTTTCGCAGTTGGTCTGGGCCTCCACTAGCTGACTGGCAATATTATCTAGTGCCTATAATAAAACATACATCAATAAAGAAAAGGTTCAAACAAACTCTTTAAATGAGGGAGAACCGTGCAATCAAGGATCAAAGACGTGCAGCAAATGCCAATCAGTTTCAACTTAATCATGCAGAGAAACAAAAAGCACACACATACACAAAAATCAAATGTTACTGCATTGCAAATATAGCTGGAAGAGTCGACTTTAATTCGTTTTCTTCAATGTCTGGTCTGGAGAATATTATCAGCAATCTTCCCAAATATTAATTTACCAGGGTTCAATACTGGTTTTCAGACAATGTAACGAGATTTGTACTGTGGAAGCGATTGTGGCCTCATCACATAATATCCCCACAATCTGTAGCGGAAACACTGCAGCCAATCTTCGTTGTGGAGATTTCAAAGTAAAAGACCCTTGAGGTGTATTGGGCATATAGGGCTAGACCTATATTTTTATAGACCAAACAACTCGTGGTGGGTGATGTGGTCAACATCACGCTGGCCGCCTTTACTTCTCAGGATTATACCTAGTACCGACTCAAGGCTGTGTCACCTAGGAGCCAGTCATTTTTTTTTTCTAAAATGGCTTCGTCAGGACCCGAACAAAAGTTCTTCGGATCCAGCACCAATTTTTGTGTGTCCATCTCATTATTGAGTGAGGTGTTGCTTAAATTATTATTTATTGCCTTATCTGAGATGACTAGACTTCTGATTCCCAACCCTGGGAGCTAGGTGTTGCTTATATTATTATTTACTGCACTTATCTGAGAAAAGTAGACTTCTGATCCACTATCCTGGATTATAAGGGGTGTGTGCTGTGGTCTTTATTTTGTAAGCATCGACATAGTATGCAGTCTCAAAGACTCACATGAGAATATTCTTCTTCTTAGCGTTTGCCAGGGGTAAACTCAGGTGAAAGTTGACGTTGTTCATCCACTTCTGAACTACAGTCTTGTTCCATAACTAAAGTTTTGTGTGCACATCCATTTTACGGATCTGACTTATTTGTATGCAGAGTGTTGGTTTCTCACTACTCTAGCAAATGTCAGAGGAAGCACCTAATCAGTCAACTTGTACAAGATGCTTGGTGAGGGGGAGAAGATAGAGTATAGCGTGTCTATCCACCCAGCCCCCAATGATGCCCTGGAACCCACAACACAGGACAACTTGAGAACCTACTGTTATTTCTCAATGGAGAATAAGGACTCAAACAACTCACTCCAAGCTCACGGGCCATAAACTCCGGCGGAAAATTCTGGCTGTTCGACCCACCCCCAGACTTTAGTCTTGCTCCAGAACCTGCGTGCCGATCCGTTTCACAGATTTGTCTTATCTGTATGCAGACTCTTGGTTCCTTGCTTCTCAGCCTGATGTACTCCAAATTCAACGCATGCCCCCCGATTAGTCAACTCCTACGACATGTTAGTTGGGGAGGCAGTGGGTCTATTCTTGTTTATCCCACAATGGTGCAGCAGAACCCACACAGGGAAAAAACTCAACCATATCATTTAAATATAAAAGACAGCAAACACCGATAAACTGCAAACAATGATGATAAATTATCCATGCCTTCACTTGGATGACATGTAAATACCCATGCGAGGTAGCGTGCACTGTCACAGATTGCATAACAATATCATATTTACCTGTGCTTTCTGGAGTTCGGCTTCCTTCAGAGCATCCTGAAGATGGCTCACCTCCTCTCGAGTCGCCGCTAATTGTTTTTTCTGCTCTTTACACTAGAATTTGTGTTAAATAGATAACAATAAAACAAAATATAATTTGAGAAAAAACAAAAAATACAAAAACACTAACATAAAATAGCACACAAAAAGGTACAAGAAAGAGTTACCAGGGGATCTGGCCAACGCTCAACTGAGGGAAAGGTGAGACAGATTGTACAATCAGACAATTACTGGTACCAACAGAATTGGAACTCTTCACTTGCTGCTGAAGATGGGGATGGAGTGCTCAGGTGAGTGTCCGGAGTGCTATGATGTCGATTCTTAATTCAACATAGGTGTTGGAGTCTCGAGGCTGCGTGGTCCTGAGGTATGGCTTCCGCCTCGGGTGCTGGAGGTCCCAGGTTCAGACCCTGGTGAAGGCTGTTTTTTTTTTTTTAATTAGACTTCTAGTATTTTCCCCTGGTCTGTGGGTAGTAAGATCGGACACCAGTGTGTATTGTTACGCACGTGACAAAATCCCTTTGCCATTGGACATCGGAAAGAGTAGCCTAACGGCGTGCCCGTGCAAAATTTAGAGTTAAGAATCTACCCGAAGTATTTCAGGATCCTCGCCGGTTCTACAGAGTTCGTGCACTGCGCTGATATACTTCTAACTCAGGCTTGAGTTAGAAGTATATCGGAGTATTTATGGGTTACACTCAATCAAATCAATCAGAAAGCAACCAAAACTGGCACAAGAGGATTACCATTTAATGGACAGACCAGAGCCAGTTATTATTCTACGCCTTAGAACAGGACACAATCGACTTCCCAGCCACATGCACACACAATTTGTAATTGCCGAATCAGCCATGTGCACATTTGGACTGACACCAGATCATGTCCTCCAAGACTGTCCCAAATACAACATATCAAGGCAAAACTTGTGGCCAAGAGAAACATCAGTGCAAGTCAAACTTTACGGGTCATCATCTTGTGGCGTTACATATGGCCGACAGTTTGTCTCCTACTTTCTTCTATCCTGGGCAATCAAAATCATGGATGGAATCCGAGCCAGCACCTTTGGCCTCTCTCAACGTGCGTCTTAGGGTTTTTCTTGCACATCTTGGATTTCTCAGTCCATGTGTTTCCAATTTCAGTGCCTGTTCAGTGATTCTCTGTCCATTTCTCCTCAGGATGTACCCAATTTATTTCTGTGTTTCCTTAGTCCTATAAGTGATGAAACAAGCAGATGCCCAGACATTTCCTTTATTTCTTCACCTGTCATCTTTAGACCCCTTGTTTGCTCAGTCCATTTATTTCTGAACTGAGTGCCTGGTGATTACCATGGTAACTTCAAATTGATCACGTGATCCTTCTGTTTACATAACATATAAGAGTAGAGTTTTAATGATACAACCTCGACCACTTTTAGCAAACATCTGTTCAGTGTGTGGTAAATATTCCTGAAAGCCCAATCTTTATCAATGACGTGTCCAGAGTCCAGAAAATGAGGTCCTTTTTGAAGAAATCGGTTCTATCTTCTTGGCTCATTTTGATGCAGGATCTCCGCTCAGTTGTGTGGGGAGCCATTTGGGGATATGTTCTGTCACTCTGTTTTCAAGCTGTCTTTCTGTTCGATCAATGTACATCATTTTGTGCTTCACCGTATGTTGATTTAACTTCCAGTAATGCACTTGACAAGCTACAGCAAAATATGCCAGGCAGAAAACTGTGCAATGTATTCCCAAAAGCAGTGATGAATTCCCCTATTCAATACAGCCTACCTTAACTGCGGAGATGACACATAGAATAGTGGGTCTATCCTTTTATTTTTTCACCCCAACATGGAGTCCCAGAACCCACAAGAAGATAGATGATGGGATTATTAACAACAATCTTGACCAGGCAGTTAAGAGGCATAAAAAGTTCCCTGTCATACAAACCTCTTCATCCTTCATCTGAAGAGATTTGACCAGGCCCTCAATACTTTTCTTGTACCGGCCCAGCTGTGTGTCCTTCCTCTCTGCTTCCTTTTCCAAATGTCCAAGAGCTTCCTCTGTGTCCTACAAACAATGGAACAAAGGAGAAACAACACGTCCATTTATTGTCATTACCAGAAATCAGAACACTTATCAAAGGAAAATACAAGGAATTGTGGAGAGAACAAACTACCAGTAAACATCCACAAGACCCCATCAGCAGACTTAACAGAAAGTAACATACAACAATTTTTCGTCTACGAACAGGACACTGCAGGCTCAACTACCACATGAATAAAATAAAGATTGTACAATCCCCCCAGCGTGCCTGTCAAACAGGACCCCAAACACCTCAGCACATTCTGCAGACCTGCCCACTCTACCTGCAACTTCGAAAAGACACCTGGCCTCAAAAGCAAAGTGTGCAGTGCAAGCTATGGGGAACCATGCAAGACCTGCGGCTGACATGCGAGTTCATAGAGGCAACCCACCTGATGGTCTGATCTGAGCATGCGAAACCGATCGCAAAGAAGAAGTGTCCTGCAAACAGGGAAAGAATATGATCACTGATATAATGTTCTCATGTGTCCTCAAAACCCTGCCTGCAGACTTCTAAAGAAAGCAGCTCTTAAGTGACAGGCTAAATATATGAAAGCAAGGTTGAGAAGTCATGAGCAGGATGTGACGATTCTTGGATGAGCCCAGTACCAGAGCAACATGAATCTTCTCTGCAGTTAAGGAAGGCTCAGATGGCGGGAAATGCTCATTTTCTGATATAGTAATCTGAAATAGTAATGTGGTTTCTCTTAATTTTAGCCCACTCCCAAGATGTGGAGTCATACACTTACTTGGGCAGTAATGTAGATAAAGATGGAGAGGACAAATAAAGATTTTCAAATATGAATACAAAAGGCAAGAGGATATTTGTCATAGTCAAGAGAAATTGAAACTAATACTTTAGTCAAGAGAAATTGAAACTAATACTTAACCTGAAATTTTTAACTCTAATGTCAAATTAGTACTGTTGTATGGAGCGGAAACATGGAGAACGACAACAATAACAAATCAATACAAACATTCATTAACTGGTACCTGCGCAGAACAGAGGGAATTAACTGCTATGATAAAATCCCTAATGAGCTTTGGGAGATAACTAAACAAATTCTGGTGGACCAAGAGGCGAAAGAGAAGTTGGAAAGGACACACACTGAGAAAACATGAGAATAACTAGAATATCTTTGCACTTGAACCCACAAGGGCACAGAAATAAAGTTAGACCACAAAAAACATGTAGAAGGAAGCTAGAGAATGAGGATAGGGGCATGACCTTACTGAGGATTCAAATCTGGGTCTCTTGCATGACAGCCCAGCGTTCTTAACCATTCGGCCAGTGGCTTACTGGACTCAAAACAGTTAAACAATAAGTCTCTCACTGTTACATTCTTCTTCAAAAAAAAAATATTACAGATACTAAAATATTTTATTAGCCAAACCTGAGATGAGAACGTAATGTTACCAAACAGAGAAATATTTGCAGATCTGCACTGAACCCACCTTGTATTTGTTCTCCAAATATTTTACAGCCGCCTCAAGATCCTGAAATGGAAAAAAATGTGTCACTAAATGTCAGTTAATAAACAACAACACAAAATTATCGCCAAATACTGCCCATCAGATAAAATCCATTCAAGAGCTGTATCAATAATTAAAATCCATTAAAGAAATGTATCAGTTAGAGAAAATCACTTCAAGCAGTGTACCAGTTAGATAAAAATCCTTTCAAGCCCTTTCAAGAAGTTATCAGACAGTTACTGGTGTCATCTGAATTGGAACACTTTGCTTCTGAAGATGGGGATGGAGCACTTATGGGAGTGTCCCGAGTGCAGTGATGTTGATTCTTAATTCAACATTCAACCAGTCAGATAAATTACTTCAAGAACTGTACCAGTTAGATAAAATCCCTTCAAGCACTGTTAACAGTCATATAAATTACTTCGAGCACTGATAAAATCCCTTCAAGCACTGTTAACAGTCAGATAAATTACTTCGAGCACTGTAACAGTCAGAAAAATATCACTTCAAGCACTATACCAGTCAGATAAACTATCACTTCAAGCACTGTACCAGCCCCAAAAAATTCACTTCAAGCACTGTACCAGTCAGATAAAATACTTTAAGCACTGTACCAGTCAGAAAATATCACTTCCATCACTGTACCAGCCACACAAAAATTCACTTCAAGCACTGTACCTGTCAGATGAACTATCACTTCAAGCACTGTACCAGTCAGATAAACTATCACTTCAAGCACTGTACCAGCCCCAAAAAATTCACTTCAAGCACTGTACCAGTCAGATAAAATACTTTAAGCACTGTACCAGTCAGAAAATATCACTTCCATCACTGTACCAGCCACACAAAAATTCACTTCAAGCACTGTACCTGTCAGATGAACTATCACTTCAAGCACTGTACCAGTCAGATAAACTATCACTTCAAGCACTGTACCAGTCAGATAAACTATCACTTCAAGCACTGTACCAGTCAGATAAACTATCACTTCAAGCACTGTACCAGTCAGATAAACTATCACTTCAAGCACTGTACCAGTCAGATAAATTATACCTTCAAGCACTGTACCAGTAGGTAAAATCCCTTTAAACGCTGTTCAAGTCAGACAATCTAGGGGAGCCAATCAATTCAACACAATATCATACTAAACTTTGGGATGTACAGAACTAGAGAAGCTAATGAGGTCAGCAGAGTTTGACACATCAACTCACCTGAAGGTTCAATCATCAAAGATGTATGAAAGCAAGAAGAAGAAGAAAATACACAATTCCAACAGAGAGACAAAATCTACCTACCCCAATTTTTGTATCCTTTGTCTTCAGCTTCTCCTCCAACTCTGCTATCTTCCCATCTTTCTTGGCAATAGCAGCCTTCTGGTCATCCAGTTCATCCTGTAGACAGGAACAGCTCATTAGATATGCCAAAATACACTAGCACTGAGTTGCATCAAAAAGGTATTTAAATGGAAAACATGTAAACAAACTGTAATACTAAATTTATGCTCACATCCAGAATTACTACAGACTATCCTAGATATCTAGAATCTTCTTCTTCTTCTTCTTCTTCTTCTTCTTCTTCTTCTTCTTTTTCTTCTTCTCTAGTCATGTTCTGTCTTTTAGCATCAGGTTCTGAAGAGGCATTGGATGCCAGCCTTGGTATGTGCTACATAGATGCCAGTGTTTACGGCTTTGGCTAATCTATCTATCCATCCATTGCTTTCGTGGTTAACCTCTAGTTCTGCTTCCCTACTGTTCATGTAACAGGGCTTTCTGTGGTGCACCGTCTGCTGACCGAACCAATTGATATGTTGTTTCTTGATGTAGATTAGTACTGGTTCATGTTTACACTCACCTACCAATAACACAAATTATTTACAACCAAACTAAATTGATTAAAAAAATTTTTCAAAACAAGCAAAGATCACTTTTCACACCTTTAGTCATATCAGGCATATGGGAAACGCGCCCATAATTTTACAGACCAATCAGCACTGAGGTGGGTAATGTGGTCAGCATTACGCCGGCCGTCTTTACTTCCCCAAGACATACATTCTGGTGCCCATTTTAGGCTGGGTTAACTTGCGACGTCCCATACCATGATAACAATCCACGCAGCCAACAGTGGGTTTCGATCATGGTACGTTGGAATTACAAGTCAGACCGCAACGCCTGAGCCACGGACGCCACAAACTAAACTAATACCTATCAAAATAAACCTTCTGATTATTCTTTTATCTATCAATATATCGTCTTTTTATTCTTCTTTAGCATTCCGAGTCACTGAAGTCGATTGCTGCCATCTTCATTCATCTCTGTAAGTGGCCTTCTCTTTCCAGTTGGTGACGGCAAGAGTCTATAGGTCTGCTTGGAGATTATCTCTCTATATTCTTGGTTATCAATATCTATCAATAACAAAACTGAATACCTGCCAAGAGCATTACATATTTACAACTAAGACAAACTAACAGCTATCAATATTTACCAATAACTGCTAAAATCTTACCACAAATGCAACAATGAACATTAAAATATTCAGCAAGAACCAACTCACTGTCAACATCCTGCTGTTTTAGAACTTCTTCATTGTCTTTCTGTCGTGTTCTTGGTCTACCTTGTGCTCTCTGTGCCCTTCTTGTTTGGTGTGCTCTATGTCCTTCTCCTTGTTTGGTGTGCTCTATGTCCTTCTCCTCATTTGGTGTGCTCTATGTCCTTCTCCTCATTTGGTGTGCTCTATGTCCTTCTCCTTGTTTGGTGTGCTCTATGTCCTTCTCCTTGTTTGGTGTGCTCTCTGTGTCCTTCTCCTTGTTTGGTGTGCTCTATGTCCTTCTCCACCGTTTGGTGTGCTCTATGTCCTTCTCCTCATTTGGTGTGCTCTATGTCCTTCTCCTTGTTTGGTGTGCTCTATGTCCTTCTCCTTGTTTGGTGTGCTCTATGTCCTTCTCCTTGTTTGGTGTGCTCTATGTCCTTCTTCACCGTTTGGTGTGCTCTATGTCCTTCTCCTCATTTGGTGTGCTCTATGTCCTTCTCCTTGTTTGGTGTATGTCTTTTTTTGGGTACTGCATCACAAGGTATTCTTTCTAAGTGGACAAACTATTTCCCCTGCTCTCTGTATATATAATTTTTGAATTGATTCTGTGCGGACTTCTTCTTTTATGACCTCAGTCCTGATTTGATCTCTTCTGGTCACTCCTGTAGCCCGCTTCAGACATCTCATTTCTGTGGTTACTAATTTTTTTTTTTTTTCTGGTTTGTTCTGAGTGATGTCTGGCACTGACAGCAGAGGGTGGCAATGAATATGCTTTATACAGGATGTTTCTCTGTGAGGACTGGGACTGCTTTATGCTGTATAAGCAAACCATTATGGCATTTAACACGACCGAGAAATGAAACTTGTCTATTTTCAGATCCCAAAGAATGTTGGTATTTGTACTACGTCATGCGTTATCATGAAGAAAGACTGACCTGTGTCCATTTTAATGCTGGTTAACCCCTGTCACTTCTAGAATGCATTGCTTTTACTAAACCCCTTGAGGTTGTCAGTAACTTAGAACTGTTGGTTTTGGCACCTCTAGGAACTGCCATATGCATTTACTGTGTACTCATATTTCTAGACTATTCCGGGACTAACTGTTGATCAGTTTTTCAAATGAGAAAATGAGGGACATTTCATGATTTTCACTGGCACAGGAATGGAGCAAGTATGGGGAAGCCAGATTGCAGCAAGTTGAAACCTCAACTACGGCAAAGACCAATTACTTAGAAGGATACATACCTTCAACTGCAATTTTGTCTAAACCACTGAGAGGTTTTTAATGATTTAGAAACATGCGACTGGTCTTGCAGCAGGAGTGACAGGTTCTGAACACACAAGCAAATACACAGACACATAACATGCACTGTTACAGCAAGGCTAGGTGCAAGTCCAACATAAGAACACTACAACATTCAATTCAGGCAAAAAGTAACAATGACTATATTACCAGATTTTTAAAAAGAAAAGTAGTTTTTCATTTTAAAATGTGTGCAAAAACTTACTAGACGAACAAACAAAACCAGACCTCATAAAAACTTTTAAAAAACCCTGTTAACATGCAAGCAAGGTATATTAGTTATACACTGTAGACTTCATCAAGTGCCATCTCCACATGAGTCAACACTGCCAGATGCTCTCAGGTTGTGGACACCTCGACATTCATACCGCTTCTATCTACACACCTGTTTCTGCAATTATGAACAACTCTCTCCCACTGATTAGATTTGACTAACCGCCTCCAGGTTTGAATATAAGAGTATATGCCTATTTCATTTCTTTCCTCTAGACAATTTGCTGTGTGTAACAGAGTTGGCTTCTTGATACGTGAACAGACTGTGTGCAGCTATGGGATAGAACAAGGGAGTACTTAGAGCCAAGGTCATGAATTAAAGGGAGGTATAGTTACGCCCTTAGAATGGATAAATCAAGACTTCCTTACCAAGCCCTCATTTGGACACCACAGGGGAAAAGATCTCGTGGAAGACCAAGGGAAACCCTACGTAGAACTATCATCAGGGAAGGCTCGCCCATGGGCCACTCAAACATCCAAGACCTACAACGGATTGCAACGAACCGCCATGCATGGAGAGTCTTGACCTCTGCCCTATGTGCCGCACTCGACAAGAGGAAAGACTAACTAACTAACAGTTACAAAGTGGAACTCACTCGGTAAGCTAAGCCTGAGAGAGGAAACAGAAAATTGGTCTATGTAAAAACTGCATGCTACCAGCAGAAGATCCTAGAACGGTCTAGATCAGGCCTATTCAACTAAGTTGGCTTAGGATCCACATTACTGAAAATGTGGATCATCACTGGCCAGAATCCTGAGCCTCAGTACAGAAAGATTATTTATTCAATAAAACTGGCAGTGATCCGCTGACAACTTGCTAGGCCTTGATGAACAAGATCTGGGCCGTGGGTCACCAGCTGAATAGCCCTGGTCTAGACAGTGACATCACATGCCAGAGATAATTAGCACAGACCTGTTAATGGACAGTCACTGTGGCAGGGAACATCCAGACTAGTCTAGACAGTGATATCACATGCCAGAGATAATTAGCACAGACCTGTTAATGGACAGTCACTGTGGCAGGGAACATCCAGACTAGTCTAGACAGTGACAACACAGGACAGTCAATTGTGTGGAAGCCAACGACTGGACCGTGGGCATGGCAGTAAAATCTAGACTCGTCTAGACAGTGAGGTCATCTGCCAGATGATAACATGTAGAGGCTTTTGACAGACCAAAGTTGTGGCGGTCTGAAAGATATTATGCCTGGAATGGCCAGACGAGGAGAGAGAGTTAGCTGGCCCTCGGAGGTCAATTGCTGCAACTTTCTTTTTTGTTCATTGTAACTGGTCCAGTAAAGCTGACATATTATGTGTTTCCTATCTCCACAAGAAAGATGGGTTGCACCTGATCTCCAACACTTGCTGACTCTCATACTGATTGTACACTCTTAAACCTTCACCTTGAGAAACCACCAACCTGGCCACTTCTGGTAGGTTCCAATTCTTCAGCAGTGCCATTTCTAGTGATATGTTTACAAGAGAGATATTTAATGCCACTGGTTTTTTTTTTTTTTTTTTTTTTTTTTTGCACCAGCACAGCATTTAGGTCAAGACAGGAATATATTTATCAAAAATAGCATGTTGGGGGTTTCCTTGTGAACTAATTGTTTGTTTTTGTTGTTTTTTAAAATCTAAATTTACATCAAATTTTCCCCACAGCCTCAGTAATATAGAGGTCACGCTGTCATGGTATCAGTTATCCTAAACATAACCTATTCTTGCGCAGGCACATGCATGCACATACACAAACGAAAAACATTCAAATATACACAGAGCTTTCAAAACCAATCAAAACAAATTTAGAAACAACAAAATACATTAATCGTATAACATAAAATAATCAAGTGATAAATATTAAAAGACCGTGCAATAAAGTTTTTCAAATATCCATACAATTTCATGCACTTTTAATCAAATAAAATACATAAATTGAGATTTATAACAGATATGATTTCAAAGCTATAACCTTGTAGATACAATGAAACCTCGTTAAGGCAAATTCGCTTACGAAGAAAACTTGGTTAATTTATATATATTTTTTTAATGTGTCCCACCAAGAATGTATTATTTTTAGTCCCCAGTTAGTTAATAAAAAAATTTCAAATAAACCCTTGGTTTTTCAGCAGATTGAATATGTGTAAACGAGGTTTTACTGTCAGTAAAAGTAAAAGAAGTGAACAATTAATGCACAAGCCAAACAATTTCTTGAGGTCCCAGAGATGTGCTCTTTCAGAAGAATCCTTAGAAATTCTTGTAAAGCTTAACAAAAAAGAAAAGGAGCAACCCAGATGTTTTGAAAGAGGTAAGGACTTGAAGACAAACATCAGAAAAAGGCAATTCGTGTTTTTGTCATGTTATGAGAAGAAGGAAACCTGAACATATTGTGATCCTTGGAAAGATCTGTGGGAAGACAGAGGAAGACAATGTGATAAGATTCTTGACAGCCCTTTGTCATGGCACAGAGGGGTGTCAACGCACGAACTGATATCATTCAGTTGCAGATCGCAGATTGTGGAGAGATGCTCATTTTATCCGCTTCACATTAAACTATTAAATATCTCTTTACTAGTTTCTGCTAACCATTTTTCAATGCCTAAATATTAGTTATTTAGCACCAATGTTGAGCCCTTTACCTTACTAAAGCTTATTATTTAACACCTGCCCTGTAAAACCATTTAACATGTTTTAATAATATTAACTATTTCCAACCTGCCCTAATATTAAACTATATAACACCTTTTACCAATGTTAAATATTTATCACCTGCTGAACACTAATCAATTCAAACCAAGAGAAATACTGTCAAACTACCAGAAAGAAGCTGGTCAAATCGAACACTCAACAAACAGCCCAGTGTTGACCACAAACTCACCAGCAAGTCCCTGTCTTTCCGTGCGAAGCCCTTAAGAGCATCCTGCAGCTGCTCCTCCAGGTCCTTCACTTTCTGGATCAAGGCCAGGTTCTCTTTCTCACACTTGGTCTTGACCTGGTCGGCCAGGGTCAGCTGTCCCGACAGTGTCTGCACCTCACTGACAAAATAATATTGGGAAATAATTTAACAAAGACCCACTGCCTCCCTATCAAGCATGTCGCAGGAGTCAATTAACTGGGGCATTCCTTAAAGTCGGACTGCATTAGCCTGACGGGCAAGAAACCAAGAGACTGCATACAAATAAGCCAGATCTGGGAAAAACGAATGTGCATGCAACCTCAGGTCCTGAAACCAGACTAAAGTCCAGAGGTGGACGAACACCCAGAACTTTCTGCTGGAGTTTACAGCCAGTGTACTTAAATAAGAATTTCCCTTTTCTCATCTCTGAAGAAAAGCTAGCAATCTACGTCACCTCTGACTTAATATAAGCATGTATTCAAACACTCACACATTACTGTAAAATCTTACAGGCAATAATACTTACGATTCAGTGTTTTTCACTTTTACCGTCAGCTCCTGTGAAGAGATGAATATGTTTACTTTTACAACAGAGCAAACACATTACCTTGCTGAGATAAAATCTTACAGATTACATCAGTTTAAACAGGCAAGCATTAACATCCTGCATGGGTTCCTGGACCCCACAGGGGGTTTGCTGGGGTGGGGGTCAGAGCCATCTTAACAGCATTATGGGCCCCTGGACAAAACAGTGTGTTGCTGTTGGGCCAGTGTCACATTATGCAAAACACAAAGTGTTAGCAACACATCCCTCGAAATCAGCAGAGAGGCTCTTGGATAGCCATATACAAGTGTAAGATATAGGAATAGTTCTACTTTGAGGAGATTTTCATTTCTACTAATTTCAACCAGAGAGGAATATTCAACATAATAAGTCAGCATGATGGAAAATTGCAGCCGCAATGTCTCAGGCTAATGGGGCAATGGTTTTATAGGTGTTATATAACAGATAAACATCATGGCACAAGGGTAGTAATCCATAAGTGCTCCGTTCTACGTGTAACTCAAGCCTGAGTCCGAAGATTCTCAGCATAGTGCACGAACTCCACAGAACCTGCGAGGATCCTGAAATACTTTAGGTAGATTTTGCCCAGGGCAGCGCCGTTAGGCTACTCTTTTTGATTCCTGCCTGCCAAGGAAATGTTTTTTTTTTACGTACGCAACAATGCACACGAGCGACCTATGTTACTGCGCCTGGGTCTGAACCCAGGACCTGCAGTGCTCCAGGCGGCTGCCATGCTTCGAGACCACACAGCCCCCCCACAAGAAATATTGAATACATATGGGAGAATCCATCACTGAAGCCGCCCCAGGAACGCTAGACAAAAACAGAAAAACCTCGACATTGTGCTACAACCTGGTATCAGTGAGATGACAAAAGAAGAAGAAAAACCAAATACAAATAATAAAATGGATGCTACAGCAGCACAGCTTCTTCTATCAAAAACAAATCTCCTGACACACATGTTAGATTTTCCCATCTCCAAGCAACAGCAGATCCTGCATCATCAGATTCAACAAGTAACTGTTATCTATATCTGTGTTTGGCTAGCTGTCAGGTGGGCCACGAAATAACAACCTCCATTTTTGGCAGGCTGTGGCTGGAAAAAATTTGAAGAACACTGATCCAGGAGAGACAAACCTCATTAACTCTGCGTGAATCGGTCAGCTCCATCTGGACATCATCCAGGTGAACGTTCAGCATTTCCAATCGTTTTTCAGCTTTTTCCACATCTTTATAGCTTGTCACACACTTCTGTAAATATTGCAAACAAAGACAATCTAAAGGAGTCACTAACGTAACAGACCTGTCAAGTTATCAAATCAAAATATTAAATACTGGGTTATATTACAATAAATACAGATCAAAACAGGCATCTGGGATTATGAAGCATGTTTACAACACCTGCCACAGACACTGACTAAGGACCTTAGTGGGTGTTTATAGGTGATAGGTTGACCTTTACTGCACAAGATTTTATCCCACATGGCTCAGTCTCTCCAGAGACCAGCTGATACCCCGCTGACAGCATCACATCAAGCACACAGCAATGTAGCCCTAGCGAACAGCTAGAGGGATCTCTAAAAGCCTTGCACATGCAATTCTTCTTCTTCGCGTTCACCAGCTGCATACTCAAGCAGAAAGTTATGGTTGTATGTTATATGATTCTTCTTCTTCACATTCACCTGCAGGATACTCTAGCAGAAAGTTATGGTTGTATGTTATATGATTCTTCTTGTTCGCATTCACCTGCTGCATTCTCTAGCAGAAAGTTATGGTTGTATGTTATATGATTCTTCTTGTTCGCATTCACCTGCTGCATTCTCTAGCGGAAAGTTATGGTTGTATGTTATATGATTCTTCTTGTTCGCATTCACCATCTGCATACTCCAGCGGAAAGTTCTGGATGTACGTCAACCCTTCTGGACTTTGCACGTCCCTTCTAAATATCTGGCTTATTTGTATGCAGACTGTTGGTTCCTGACCTCTCAGGAAGAAGCTCTCCGACCCTGAAAGAAACCCTGAATGAGTCAACTCTGATGACATCTTGTTAAGGAGGCAGTAGATTTACCCCCACTCCCTTTTTTTAACAGAACTGAGTGTTGAGGGTATACTCTTTTACAGATCTAGCTTATTTGTATGCAGACTGTTGGTACCTCGCATTTCAAGCAGATGAGATGAAGTATTATTTCAAAGCTAAGGGCCCTGATTAGTCAGCTTCTAGGACATGTTTGTCAGGGGAGCTGTAGGTCTGTTCTTTGTGTTCCATCAAAATACCGCTCCAGAACCCACACTGAGAACTTATGTGTGATGACCCAGCTTCGCATGCTCTCCACGCATATAGCCAGCCAGGCAGGAAACCAGGGCACCAAGTGACCGCACCGGATACCTGGGGCCGGTTGAGTAGACGTGGGCACGCCCGAGCTAGACTCGTGGTCAGTCGCATCAGAGAATTCAAGAAAGGCAGCTGTCTTATTAGAAGAGGTAGTAGTTTTATTAGAGGAGATAGTTCCAATGTTGTGTGGATGACTAGTGTTAATAGTCGGCTGGAAGATATGGATGTGTGAACAATCGTCAGCATGTATCATAGAATGTGAAAGAATAAACTGATAGCCGGTAAAATGGAAACCGAGCGTCGTTTGTGGGTTATAATCCCTAGATGGTAGAACGAGTGCAAGACCCAGGTAAATACAACAATCTCACAAGTAGAGCTGTGGCAATCAGCAACAGTGCAAACAACTTTATTACATAATGGATTAAAAAACAGAGTTACAAATGGAACAGATGGCCTACAGAGCATGAGGTGAACAACAACCATTTGACCACAGGAGCCTGCACCTTCATAACAATGACATCGTACTACTGGCAATGTCATCGGGGACTGGGTCGCCCATTGGCATGCGGGTAGAGGACTTTGTCGCCAGTCAGGGCAGTATTTGGGTCTATGTCCTTTGACCGCATCAACACTGCAGGAGTCCTTTTCATGACTGTTGGCGGCGTGCAATGTTGAGCCATGTTATATGGCACACATAACTTAGTTACAAATATAACCTAAAGCTCCCCTTCCGCAATGCTCACTGAACATGACGATTTTATATATATATATATTTCTTTTCTAGCAAAGCACTACACGCTGACAGTGAACAACTCAGCAGTGTTGAAGTCAACAATAACAACAATCTTCTTTTTCTTCTTCGCGTTTACCAGCTGTAAACTCGGGCGGAAAGTTCTGGTTGTTCATCCACTTCTAGACTGCAGTCATGTTGCAGAACCTGAGTGTTGCCTGTGCATCCGTTTCATATATCTGACTCATTTGTATGCAGACTGCTGGTTCCTTGCCTCTCAGGCAGCTTCAATCTGACTTCAAAGGAAGCTCACAATTAGTCAACTCTTACGACATGCTTTTGGGTAGGCAGTGGGTCTATGCTAGTTTTCCCCAGAATAGGGTCCTAGAAACCACACGGGGAAAAACAACAATCTAACCTGATTGGCTAATTCTAACTGGTGCCGCAGCTGGTTCATCTCCTCCTGACAATCTCCCCGCAGACGGTTCCTCATCAGCTGCTCTTCCTGTTCATGCTTGGCGGTCAAGGTCTCCATAGCTAGGCTGAAACATGAAAGCCAGTCAATGGTGTCACTCAGTGGTTCTCAAACCGTGTTACAGACGTGTGTGGTTTGTGTCTGCGAAGTGTGCATGAGGAGATTTATGTATTACTGTTGAAAAAACAAAAGAAACATAAAGGTATCCGATAGCGCGTTTGATTTTTGTGTGGAAAGCCAATACGCCCATAAACTACTGATGACCCAGATGCAAGAGAACTGTCAACCGACTGGTTGAACCCTAAGGTATACTACAATTTCACTCACAAAATTACAAAGATTTTGATGTCAAAATTATACTCCTTCCAGTAGCTATGCATTCTTTTGTTGCTGAGTGGTATAGTTGAAAAAGCATTACTTTAAAAAAAAAACAGCCTTAAAGAGAAGATCTATGTGGCAAATAAATGTTGCTGTTTGTCAGAATAACATTAACAATTGTATCTTCACACACCTTCACATGTCAGCCTGACATTAGAGTTTATTTCCAAAGGCACTGCCAGCTCAAGCCAAACCAATGTTCTAGTCTGCATAAGCTAGGCAGTCTTATAGCAAATGTTTCCTAATCGTTTTACTAAAACCTCAAATGAGATCAAATAAACAGCAAAAGTAAAAGACCCTTTTCCATGCCTTTAGGCGTACAGGGCATATAGGGCTAGGCCTATATTTTCTAGACTAATCGGCACAAGATGAGTGATGTGGTCAGCATCACGCCGGCCGCCTCTACTTTCCGGGACTGCACCCGGTACCCACTCAAGGCTGGTTCGACCTGGGAGCTAAGGTCATTTTTGAACAAAGTCCGGCTCCACCAGGGAGCAAACCCACGACCTCCTGATCCGCAGCGAGCGTCTAGCCGATCCGCCACGGCAACCTCCTAAATGAGATCAAATGAAGATGAACTATCACATATATCACATGACAGTGACAGCTGGGGAACCTCTCAAAACATGGAATGAAAGTTAAATGCACTCGAAAACAAATGCTTGAGGAAAATGATGAATATAAAATGGGATAAATCTTATGGACATAAGAGAAATGCCAGGGCAACCACAAGTATTAACGGTTGTAAAACAGTGAAGAGGGCGCTATATTGGACACATTCTGAGAAGAGACAAACATAGAATCCCCAAACAGGCACTGAAATGGGAAATAAAGGGATTGAGGAAACGAGGCATCAGAGAGAAACCCTAAGGTGAAAGTTGATGAGAGAGGGCAAAGCTGCTGGACTGGATTCCATCCATGATATCCAAGTGACTGCATAAGACAAAAGGGAATGGTGAAACAGACTTTGAGCCCTATATGATAAACAATGGCACAACAGGATAATGAAATGAAACATATATGATGAACAACAACCTCTTAATACTAAATCATTTATAACAAACATCTACAAATCTCTATGGTGTCCTACTTACGCTGCCTTCTGAACCAAAACCTGTTTATCCGCCAACTCTCTTTTCAAATTCTCAATATCCACCTGCAGCTCTATATTCTTAAAAAAAGAAAAAATTATATAGGTACATATATAATGCTAAACACAAAGAAACACATTTTATAATCCATTTTTCAATGGGTGCTCTGTTGTATCAAATGTAATCATGAAGGTTCATGTCCAACAAGTATCTAGGAAGCATATTTATAAAGGATGGCAAACTCAACTGAGAAATAGAAGCCAGAGAACAGAAGGCAAATGCTGTCACCTACCAGTTAACACCATTGCTTAGACACCCTGGAAAAGAAAAAAAACTACATATGAAATGCGCTGACTCCGCAAGGTCACTAACAACACAGGAAGAGACAGAGACAAATACCAGCATTAGAGAGAAAGTTGGAATAAGAACATTTCTGGATTATACTGACAGACAAAGGATGAAATGGTTCAGCCATCAAGTGACAATGTAGCCAGACTAAACTGCATATGAGATTTTTTTTTAACCACAGAACACCTGAGAGGGAGACTAGAGGAAGACCAATAGAGATTTGGATAAATGGTGTAGCTGAAACCTGCAAAAAAGATGAACAATTCCATCAGCCAAGCCACCCGAGAAGTGCAAGACAAATACAGAAAACCACAACACTAGGCTTCAACCTGGTCTCAGTGAGACGACCAAAAAATGGAAGAAAGAAGAAGAATCACGACGCATAATGGTTAATGTGATTACTGACTTAAGACAGAGGTCTGGGTTTCTTCTTCGTTGTTGTCCAAGTGACAAAATTCTGTTGTGCCTGTTTACAGCATAGCTGTGATATTTGCAGCTTTCGATTGACATGCCCACTACAGGCATTTGTCTTGCCATTTTACCCCTTGTTGTTTTTGTGGTTTATATGAGAAAGGTTCTGGTCAAAACATCTTTTTGTCTTGTACATGTATGTTGTTCACCTTCCACTCTTTCATTAAGTTTCTCTATCCGAGTGTGTTTTCCAGGGCCCCAGTGTGGGGAAAACAAGAACAGAACTACTGCCTGCTTAAAAGCTTGTTGTAAGAGTCGACTAATTGGGAGCTTTCTTCGAAGTCGGAGTACATCTGCCTGAGAGGCAAGGAAACAACAGTCTGCATGCAAATGAGTCAGACCTGTGAAACAGATGTGGACACAAAACTCAATTTCTGGAACAGTAGAGTCCAGAAGTGGATGAACAACCAGAACTTTCCGCCGGAGTTTACAGATGGTAAATGCAAAGATTAAACTTTTTTGCCACAGTTAAATGGATTAATTCACTGCACTAATACAGAACAGTGGGCACTAAAACCCCTTTATTAATGCTAACACACAGGGAGGGTACTCAAATTCCAGTGAATCAAGAGTTGAGGAAGAGATGCTAGCTCAGGAAAAGGACAACAGTGAGAAGACCTAACAGTGGTAAAACTCTGGAACTTGTAAGCCAACCCCCCCCCCCCTCTCCAGCATGAAGACCTAAAACACATGGAGAAGTGAATCAGAAGCAGAAATGTTAAAAAAATATATGCTGATTTTTACAGCTATTGGACACAGTAAAAGATAGATGGTGTGAACTGATTGTGATTATAATCCAATTTTGTCCTTTTCAGGATGAAATTTTTTATTCTTTGAAGCCCCACCCTGGCTTTTGCCAGGGGCCGCAATATAGACAGGCCATAAATATGGCCAATTGTCTGAACGCGGTTTCTGTGACCTCTCCACGGCGATCCTCATCCACATGGTGGCACTTTGTGTCATCGGGTGGTTATCGCTTGTGTGATGTCCTGGTGGGGTAGAAAGTCAGTCAGTCACTGATTGTGAGCTAAGCTTAATCTGGGGATTAAAAACTGGAAAAAAGGAAGAGGGAAGGAAAGAAAAGAAGGAAAAACAAAGGAAGGAAATAAGGGAGGAACGGAAGAAAGAAGGGAGGGGGGTAGGGAGAAAGAAAGGAAGTAAGGAAAAGGAAAAGGAAAGAAGGGAGGAAGGAAGGAAGGAAGGAAGGAAGGAAGGAAGGAAGGAAGGAAGGAAGGAAGGAAGGAAGGAAGGAAGGAAGGAATAAAGGAAGGAATAAAGGAAGGAATAAAAGAAGGAAGGAAGGACCCTTAGAAAAAACATCTCAATAGTGATCACTTACAGTTCTGAAGACATCCTGGCCGTCACCATACCTCTGCTGCATTCTCTCCTCCATGTAGTAGATCCTCATTTTCAAGCTGAAGTTCTCCTTCTTGAGGTCTGAGATTTGCTACAAGAGAAACAACAGCATTCGTCACTGCATGTTTTATCTGCTTCTTAGCCTTCACAAGTGTAAACTCTGGAAGAAAGTTCTGGATGTTTGTCCACTCCTGGACTTTAGTTTTGATCCAGAACTTGGATCCAGAGAGTGTAAGGAGGGTTAAAAAAAAAAAGGTTAGTTGCGTATCCTTTACAGGACGTTGCAGGTTTTTCTAGGCTAATTTACGTCCAGTAGTTTGCCACTGCTTTCAGGACGGTCCGCTTTCTTGATACCACTCTCGAAACCAATGCAAGGCGCATGGCCGCAGCTGGGATCAAACAAGGCATCCCGGCATTATGAAGCGTTCGCAGTGGCTTAGCCACAGAGCCGACGGTAGAGTGAGGACTGCAAGAAAAAATTGAACGAAACAATAAAATGAACACCAGGCTTAATCAATCTTGAAATTGTGGTAAGATTTTTGGTATATAATGTTTCAGAAGTCACAAATTAAGAAATTTGTGAAGGTGTGACACTCCCGTGTTTGGAGAATAGTGATGGAAGGTGCAGTTTCTGGAAAAATAGATAAGAGACCAACCTCCGCAAATGTGGACACAGGACACTGATGACGCAGTGGAAATCTTCTTCTCCTTTTCTATGTTCTGCCAATTACTGCCTTTATCATACCACTTTTGCGGTGTAGGCAGGCGGGTCTTTGATCCTGAGCATTTACAGTCGCATGGCTAGTGCTGTCGCCACGACTGTACAGGTGATGATTTTATTTTGCCCCCGACAGAAAAAAAATCCCCAGCCTTACTGAGGATTCGAACCCGGGTCTCCTGCTTGAGAGCCCAGCGTTCTAACCATTCGGCCAGCCACTCCTCTTTTCGTGTTCACCGACTGTTAACTCCTGCTGAAAGTTGTGGCTGTTTTTCCCCATCTTGACTTTTAGTCTTTTTTCCAGAACTTGATGTGTGCATATCCATTTTACAGATAGATCTGGCTTATTTGTAAGCATCTAGCTTATATGTATGCAGACTGTTGGTTCCTTGCCTCTCAGGCAGATGTACTATGACTTTGAAGAAAACCCTCAATTAGTAAACTCTTACAACATGCTTGTTAGGAAGACAGTGGGTCTTTTCTTGCTTAGCTCACAACAGGGCCTTGGAACCCACACGGAGAACACAAGATATGAAAGCACTGACCACACAAAGACAGCATCATCATCAAGTGCCTTACCAACTGTCGAGGTAATCACCTTGTAATCTCTAACAACACACATAAATTTGTCTGTTGACACTTCTCAATCCTACGACAAAAAAATTCTCGTGCATTTTCTATTGCTGTCTTCATCTTTCACCTTTTTTTTTCTAATTGTCACAATACGCTTCTCATTTTCTCTTCTCATAAAAGGTACAGGCAGGTAGACTTGCTGATTCTGCACCATTAGGTGGTGAACTGATGCACAAACAGTGCAGAGGCACAAACAGATCGTCACTGTCTGAGAAGAATGGCGCTGCGAGAAGTGACCAGGAGGTATGGCCAACACTCAAGGGAAAAGCAAGATAGATAGATATACAATCATAGTGTTACTAGCACCATCAGAATTGGAACTCTGCGCTTGCAGCTAAAGATGGGGATGGAGTGCTTGTGGAAATGTCCAAAGTGCTGTGATGTTGATTCTAATTCAACATTCTTCTCATAGTACCGCCCAAATAAAAATGTCTGCCTCTTTCTTATATTGATCATAAATTGTCTTTGGATCAGCTCCTTTCAAAACATCCAGATTACTCATTTTGGCTGTCCAAGGACTTGTAAGCAGTTTTTTTTTTTTTAAATCAGATCTCTCATAATATTTACCTGGTCATATTCTTTCATAGTTCGGCCACGGACAGGAGACAGTCTGTCACCGCAGGTTTTTGACGACACTGAGGGGGAAAAAATACAATAATTAATTCTAGTGACATAAACCAGATCAATGAAATAACATCTCAACACAGGTAATTCTAGTTACAAGTTCATAGCAAATGGATCACCCCATTGTCGCTCTATTCTTGTGCCAAAGATAACCATACTGAAATGCATTACTGTCTTTTGTGAAAGACACTGACTGCACTCTCAGCAAATCCAATGGCATTGTCACACATTAAATACACAAATAAGGGAGCTGTCAGAAGTGCCAACACAAGCAGTCGAACACTAAAAATGCAGTATGTTAATAAAGTAACAGAAAATGTTTTGATCGGCACTCATAGAAAGAAGTAGAAAGATAGAAGAACACACTAGACAACATAAAAATCGAAAGCTATAGTTACTGTGCCGGGAATCCAACCTGTCACCTCCAGACAGCTTGTGCGCCTGGCTATGGAAACAGTGCACTAAGAACATGGTCAACTAGGCACCAAAAAAGGTAGGTGTCTTACTGACCATGTATATCGTACAGCTTGAAATCCACAACTTTGGAATAAGGACAGAATTCATTTCAAACCACTGAAATGGCACCATAGGTTACATAAATTTATATTAATGAAGCATAGGTGGAATAACAAGCACAGCAACAATTTACGAACACTGTAGACCTCAATGCTTTGTCTAGAATATACAAACATTTAAGAAAGGCATTTGATTGTTAGGTTCCGGTGTGTATACATCATTCACATAAATAAACAGAGGAGGAACCCTTGAGGCCGTTAAATATTATATATTAAGTTTATATATATTAGGTTTATTTATGTAAAAATGCAGTACACTGTCGATGGAAGCAGCAGGTACAGCAGGTCAGTAGTTGCACAAGCAATTTACAGCGTAAGGCACAACTGTTCTCTGGCAAATTTCTAATCTACATTTTCCAAATCTGCAGGTCACAACGCAAACCATGTTGGGCACAGTTGAAAAGCCTTATAAATAAAAATCCGCAGCTCACAGTGTCGTGCACTTCACTCAGCAGCTTTTAACAACACCTCCCTACAAGGTAATGACAAACAGCTATAGTAGATATGTTTCCCATCTCATTGTCCTCTAGTGCCACTTACAGACCGCATAAGGCTCACAGTCAATTCCTCCATTCTGTTCTAACATGTGCAATCTAAAAGATTGTGTGGATGGAATCGAGTCCAAAACCTCTGGCCTGTCTTATCAAGTCCAAAATCTCTAGCCTGTCTCATTGACTGTCTCACCAAGTCCAAAACCTTTGGCCTGTCTCATCAAGTCCAAAACCTCTGGCCTGTCTCATTAAGTCCAAAATCTCTGGCCTGTCTCATCAAGTCCAAAACCTCTGGCCTGTCTCATTGAATCCAAAACCTCTGGCCTGTCTCATCGAGTCCAAAACCTCTGGCCTGTCTCATTGAATCCAAAACCTCTGGCCTGTCTCATCGAGTCCAAAACCTCTGGCCTGTCTTTGAGTCCAAAACCTCTGGCCTGTCTCATCGAGTCCAAAACCTCTGGCCTGTCTCATTGAGTCCAAAACCTCTGGCCTGTCTCATCGAGTCCAAAACCTTTGGCCTGTCTCATCGAGTCCAAAACCTCTAGCCTGTCTCATCGAGTCCAAAACCTCTGGCCTGTCTCATCGAGTCCAAAACTTTTGGCCTGTCTCATCAACGTTCATCAAAAGATTTTTGTTAGCTGTCCTAACATTCCTATGTCCTTTTTTTTTTTTTTTGGTTTTCAATGCCAGTGTCTGTTTAGTGATACCTGGTCTTCTTCTCCTCAGGATCTCCCAAAAACATTGTCATATTATGTGTTTTGTAACCGTTAACCCTTTCACTCCAGAAGAGTTTTTAAAAAATATTCAATTTTTCCAAATTTTGTCAAACAAAAACATGCAAATTTTGAGTCTTGGTCAGGTTTAACAAAAAATCAAGGAGGCTGAAACATGACCGATTAGCCCGCAGGCAAGCGTGATGGCCACTCCAACATCACAGCTTATCAAGTTTTTAAAAAATAGTTTTTTTTTGTAGTCAATTTTTTCAAGCAAAAATAATTTTTTACATGAAAGTAAGTAATCTATATTAATAAAAATGTTAATTTTCCAATGTTGTTAGCTAAAAACTGGGAAACTACTGAACCGATTGCTTTCAAATTTGCACACAACATTGCCTTTGACTCCAAGCGAGATTTTTTGTCAGAAAAATCGCACAAACCACGAATGACATAGCCCCAGCAACGGTCAAATCATTATTTGTTTCAATGCCGGCCCGGATTTGTTTTTAGTTCATTGGCCATATTTGACTGCTGAGCTCTTATTGAACTTTGCATTATTATATAATTTCCTTTCCACTGTTTGCTTGAGTGTTTGGTAGAGTAGTTGGTAGCTTTTCTGCCTCTCATGCAGGTGACCCGTGTTCAATTCCCGGCTAGGTGATCTAATTTTTTTTTAGCCCTTAACTGGGCGGCTGGCACGTTGTGTTGTGGTTTATAGCTAAGCTGCGATATCTACGCCTTTTTCAGTTTTGGGGTTTACAGCTAGCCTGCGACAGCGGCAACGTGATGCTCAATGGTCATGTCACAAGTAATCTTCATTCGCCCTCGAGAGAGCCGTTGGCACTTTGTGTTGTGGTTTACAGCTAGGCTGCGATATCTGACCTAAACTCTTCAGTCGTCGGTAGTATAGTTGTAAGTATGTCATCCTTCATGCAGGTGACCGGTGTTCGATTCCCCGCTGGGTGATAATTGTTCTTTTTCCCTTAATAGGGTGGTTGCCAAGTTGTGTTGTGGTTTACAGCTAGGCTGCGATATCTGCGCCTTTCGCCCAAAGACATCCGATTTCAGTTAAGTCCTAATTAGCCTCCCCGCGACGCTTCTCGGTCAAAAACTATTCGGCGATGACAGAAACTGTTAACTAGGCTTACAGTCCAGTGTAGTGTGCGGGGTATTTTTCTCCACTATTCGTGAGTATAGTGTACTTTTCACTGTGGGTTCCAGCACTGGTTACGTGATGAAGTTTCTTTTTTACTATGCCCTGGGAAAAATCAAACTAAATAGTCCGTGGCGACAGCATGTGGCGCTAACTCCTCTTTTCTACACCGACCTACACGGATAGATGGAATAGCTAAGGCAACACAAACTAAAGTAAAAACACTTACAGGGTGTCATTTGTTCGCTGGTAGCCATTAAAGAATGATTCCCTAGAGTTATCTCAGGAAGTCGGCTGGGATCCAGGCTGAAACAATAAACAGATACAGAACATGGTTGGTTGGTCAGAATCCTCCAGAATAAGTTATGCTTTAAATCCTGTTTGATGCACTGTGTTCAGGTCATATGGACTCCTTTCTTCTGTTTCTTCATGTTGACTGGCAGTTAACTCCGGCGGAAAGTTCTGGTTATTCATCCACTTCTGGTCTTTAATCTTATTCCAGAACATGCACATCTATTCTACAGATCTAGCTTATTTATGTGCATGTGTTGGTTCCTTGTCCCTCATGCAGATGCACTCCAACTCTGAAGGAAACAACCCCAATTAGTAAACTTCTACATCATGCTTGTTAGGGATGCAGAGGATCTATTCTCTCCTCCTCCTCCCCCCCCCCCCATTCCAGGAGCCCTGGAACCCAATGGACACTCAATAGAGCTTGCATCTATCAGAGAAATTGGTTTTACTGATGTCGTCCAACCTGGCATTTTGCATCCACAGAAAAGCCTCTTAGGAAGTGACCTGGTCAAGATTCAGCACAACAAATGCAGGCTGACTTGGATTAGGCTTGGTCTCCATGTGGGTTCTGGGGCAGGGAGGGGGACAGACGTACTTTTCCCCAAGGTAATCAAATTAAATGCCTCTCAAAAACAATACTACAGAGCTCAGCAGAGGCAAAGAAGACAATAGGCAGACCAAGAACTTGACAGACTGGACAGGCCTTAAGTATGCAGCCATGAAGTCCATCATATCTGACTTTCAAAGGTGGAGGGAGATGAACAAACAGTCAACAGCAACTGGTGACCCAAGGATGCACAGTTACGGCATGACGATGATGAGGGTGACATGAGCTTCTTTTGTTCACCATCAGGTCATCATGAAGCAAACTGTGTTGCACTAGTTTTCTTTTTTTCAAGTCTAACTCAGTACATCTGATTTTGACAAGCATTTTTCTAACCATTGACTGTATCAAGTCTACTTGCAGACAGCATGTTTGTCCCTCTGCTTGGTGCCTATTCCTTGACCCATGTAACAAAACAGAACCAACACCAGCAGCAAAGCTACCATTGCCTAGCTCTTGAGACCATTGCAACACACTAGCTCATCCTGATTACTATTTAAGAATCTCAACATCACAGCACAGCAGGCATACCCATAGATGCTCTATCTCCAGCAGCAAATGTTTTAAGGCGTAGATGCTAACTTAGGCATGTTTTTTCATCTAATCTTGTGTCTTTTGTCAATATTTGTTTATATATGGTCTTCAAAATATCTCCCTTGTTCAGTATGAGTGTTCCCATAGCTATCGTTTTTGTAGCCAGAAAATCCACGCTTTCATTCCCTCCTCCATTATTTCATAGTGGGCATCAGAGAGGACACAGTGAAATACTAATTTGAGAATTCATTCACTGCTATGTTATACCATTATATGTCACATAGGGCTCACAGTCTCCATTCTGCTCTATCCTGTGCAATCACCTGGATATCATGGATGGAATCCAGTCCAGCACCTTTGACCTTTCTCGTTATTCATCTTATGGTTTCTCTTGATCATCCTCGTTTTCACAATCCATCCATTTCCAATTTCAGTCCTGTCTGGTAATTCTCAATTCATCTGTTCTCATAATGTGACTAATATAGTGCCTTTTTCTCTGTCTTATAACTGCTGATATTAGAGGCTGCGCAGACATCTCTTATTTCAACAATTCTCTTGAATTCATCCATTTTCCTCAGGCATTTTTTAATGCATTTGAGTTTCACTCCTTGTCTCTAGTAGTTACTTTGAGAATCCCTGCCCTTTAAAAACACACACACAGACAAGCACAGGGAAGAAAGATGTGCTGGCAACACAGCTGTTTATGACAGCCTCCATTAGCCAGAATCATCTAACAAAACCATGTTTTACTGTTTATAATGGGTAGTGTGTTATGGGTTGTGTGTTGTTGCTTTGTCCAGCAACAGCTGCTCTTCTCCAGTGAGAGGCCCTGCCTGTAGAAGTCAAATCGTTCATCATTTTTTTTTTTCACTTTTACAATAAATGGAGAGACTAGTTGGGTGGTCTGGCTGCTTGGTGGCAGTCACTGGCTAATGCTGTTCCAAGTTCATAAATTTATGATATATTTCATAGCTTCTTTATTCACAGTATCTTTTTGTTTTTCATAGCATTCACCAGCTGTGAACTCCGCCCGCTCAGGGCTGTAAACTCCAGAGGGAACTTTTGGGTGTTCGTCCCTTCTGAACTTTGGTCTTGCTCCAGAACTTGAATTGTGAGTGCACATCTGTTTTACAGATCTGGCTTTGTACGCAGACTTTCGGTTCCTTGCTTTTCAGACAGATGCACTTAGACTTCAAGACAACCCCTTGTAGTAAATTAGTAATCTTTTATAACATATTTCAGCTTCTGAGACAAGATGCTGTTTATTAGCCGATCTTCCTTGATGTTCAGATCTTTTAAAACTTCAGTATTCATTCTCTTCCTTGTCCATGATATTCTGAAAATCTTTCTATAGCATTTTAGCAAAAAAGTTAAATATTTAAAGTTATGTGCAAGTTTTAATTCCACAGCACAAAGTGGTAGACAATATTCACTATACGGCAATACACTGCAACAGTATTTAGTTCTAGCTCTTCGTATCAATATTAACTAGTCTTCAGACTAAAAAACTTGACAACATTAGGATTACCAACATATGCTTCATACATTCATGGTGCTTATATAACTTACACAGTGATAAAACTGCTAAAAGCAAACATTTAAAACACTACTATACCCTACTGCAACTTACTCTGAATGTTTAAGTTAAACTTTAAAGCCAGTTCTATTTCAAATTTTTAATGAGAAGACACAAATAATAATATATATATTCTTTGTCCTTGTTAATTCCTGTCTCTTTTCTCGATAATCAATAATAATTTCTCCTTTTCAGGCTTTTAAATTTCAAAATGAAAATCCTAATCCTAATTTAATTTCAAAACGGCTGTAGAAAAAAGTTAAAACATTCACTTCAGTCACTGACACAACAGCGATCTTTAAAATTACCGCCGACCGTCACCTGAGTAAAGATCCTGCTTTTTAACAGGTATTGGACCTAAGTGCGCTGAATTCAATTTAATTACATATGTTTAAATGGGCCCAGGAATGAACTAACAGAACTTGAGAACCCAATTCAACCGCTTCTTGCTTTTTAAAAACAAAGACCTTGTTCAGACGACTCAGTATTTTGGCCAAGTTACTCAAATTTGAAAACAAACCTACACTCAATAATGCATGAATAACTCTACTTTACTGTCATTTAAACATACCTTCCTTCAAAATCCACCGGTAGGGTAGACGTATCGGCAGTAAGGTCCATGATTATGTCGGAGAAAGACGGTTGAGTGGTGTCTGTAAATTGAAACAGTTCATGGATGAACTGAAGTTCAGACTGTCTGTGGTCGCAGACGTCGCCACTCTTGTCTGTTTGACGGGAGATGCGCATGCGCACAGGGCATCCTGTGGATGGTTTCAAACGTGAGCTGTGGGGGGCGGGCGCAGATTGCCGAATGTTGCCTGTGAGTTGTCAGGTTCACAGTTGAGTTAAAGTTAAAAAGCGATATTACGGTACTTGACGTGGGCGCTAGAACCTTGGCTTAGGCCTTCAGAGCCCCTTCCCCTCACCCCCACACACAAATATTCGGATGGGGGAGGGAGAGACAGGACTCAACTACCCTATTTTTATAATGAAGCTCAGCTGCCTCCCCCACCCCTTTTTTTTTCTTCTGTATTAGGCCTATGTATCATCGTCAGTCAGCAGGTCCTATACTGAGAGCTGCTCTCTTCTAAGCGTGCCTGAAAGAATTTTTCTAACCAATTCTCCAGCCCTGCATGCTTTCGTATTGTGTGCATCTTCAGTGTCGTGTATCCGCCTTCGTTGCGGGACCTCTGTGCCTGGTTTTCCGAAGACTGCACCCTTCCCTCAACTCTGCTCTATCCAGACACCATGACGCTTATCATCATCATCATGTGCCGTGCCATTTGTCGTAGGCGCTCATGCGTCTCCACAGATCACGGTCCCTGGTTGACTGGAACAGCTCTCTTGATGATATCCCTTTATGCCATCATTTTAACCCATCCAGCATCATCTCTCTCTCTCTCTCTCTCTCTCTCTCTCTCTTGGTCTGCCTCTTTCCCGTTTTCCACTTATCTTTCCAGTTGTCACGATGTTCTCCAGTGTCTCTCTTCTCATTATTTGGCCAAAGAACAGCGTTATTGTACATATAGATCTACTTTCATTAGCCTTGTTAAAGCAATCGTTGTTGGTTACTCTGGCCGTCCAAGGTATTTGTAACATTCGTCTCAGAAACCACATATCTGTTGCTTCCAAATTCTTCTTAATTTGTTCAGTGACATTCCAAGATTAGCTGCCATACAGCAGAACATATTCTATGTAACACTTTAGCCTCCTCTTTCTGACATTAAATAAGAGCTATTTACTGCATATTTTTCATTTTCTGAAATGCAGCTTTCGCTTGACCTATTCTGCTTTCAATGTTTGTCACACATTTTCCATCTGATTATATGATTGTTCCCATATATTTTAATTTATTGACTTGGTGAAGTCTTTTTCCTTCAATTGAGATATCACAAAGTGGAATTATCTTCTTCTTTGATATAACCATTACTTCAGTTATCTTAATATTCAATGAAAGTTCTTTCTTAGCACTCTCCATCCCCACAATGTCCAACAGTTGTAAATCAGTTGCATTTTCAGGTATCAAAACTGTATCGTCTGAATAACGAAAATTGTTTATATTGTACCTTTCAACTCTTTCTCCTGCATTCTATTTAATTCCCCTTAAAATTATTTCACTATATAGAGAGAAAAGTTCTGGGGATAAGACACATCCCTGTCTTACTCCTTGCTTTATCTGTTCAAAAGCACAGAATCTGTTTTCCACTTTAATTGCTGCTACTTGGTTCCAGTAAATGTTTTTAATTATTCTGAGATATTTCCTGTCTTCGTTGATGTCTTCCAACATTTTTATCATCTCTTCATGCTTAACTTTGTCAAATGCTGTGTTATAATCAAAAAGCACATATATAAGTCCTTTTGTAGGTCCACTCCTCTTTCTATCAGTGTTCGTAATATATATATTGCATTACTTGTCCCTTTCACCTTTCATAAATCCATACTGCTCTTTACTCATTTCCATTCTTATTTTTCTTTTTGTTCTTCTCATTATAATTCTAAGTAGTAATTTAGTGACATGATTTATTAAGTTGATTGTGCGAAGTTCTTCACACTCAATTGCTCCTGGTCTTGACGCTTAACATGGCCATAATAACTCAGATTTCAGTAAAGGATCAGAGCAAATTCTTCTTTATGCTCACACCATGTTGATGTTGGTGTTTTTCTTCTTCTTGGTCCAGGGTATTCTAAGAATTGTTCGGTAGCACTTCAGTTCAGAATCTTCGATTTTATCTTCAGAGACTGAGCAAGCGTCCATGACTCACATGCATACGTTGCCACGGGAAAGATACATGATTTTACAATGTTTACTTCAGCTCGTTTGCAGGGGCTGTGCCATAGGCTCTTCATGCTGTTTATCATCATCCTGTTCTTCCTGAGTGTTGAGTGTATGCCAAATCCCCTGTTCTTCCTGAGTGTTGAGTGTATGCCAAATCCCTTGTTCTTCCTGAGTGTTGAGTGTATGACAAATTCCCTGTTCTTCCTGGGTGTTGAGTGTATGCCATATCCCCTGTTCTTCCTGAGTGTTGAGTATATTCCAAACCCCTGTTCTTCCTGAGTGTTGAGTTTATGCCATGTCCCCTGTTCTTCCTGGGTGTTGAGTGTATGCCATATCCCCTGTTCTTCCTGAGTGTTGAGTATATTCCAAACCCCTGTTCTTCCTGAGTGTTGAGTTTATGCCATGTCCCCTGTTCTTCCTGGGTGTTGAGTGTATGCCAAATCCCCTGGTCTTCATGAGTGTTGAGTATATGAAAAATCCCCTGTTCAGCGAGTCTAATGTGATAACGACTTCATTGCATCGGGTTGTATCCCATATGGCTCGGTCTTTTACCACGGAACAGCTAGTCGTATGCTGAGAACATCGCGCGAAGGACGAACGCCTAGATCCAGCGACGACCCTGGGCGGATCTTCACAAATAAATTTCACTCGTAAACTGAACCATGCAGTCAGCGGAACGAACGCACGACCTTCAGAGAGCAATGCAAACAGTTTGACAAATGAGCCATATAGATCTCATGCCGCCGCCTCCCAACACACACCCATTCCATTTTGCTTTATTTGTAGACTGGAAAGATATAGTTTCGTTGCCCAGCTTCTGAGTTGAGTGCATGGCGTGACAATGTAATTGATGTGATTGAAAACTGCAATGTGTAACTGCTGATCTTTTGATGACTTCTGCTACCATCAATGATGAACTACATTTCTAATGTTGGACTGTTTGTGCTAGCACTTCGGATTGCTAACGTATGCTTTTGGTGCGTGTGTATGCTAGATTTGCTGAGACATGTCAATCTTTCCACAAGGGACTGTGGTAAACATTATGTGTGTTTTTCCTTGACACATGAGCGGAGCAACTATGGGGTGACCCGTTTGCTATGAACCTGAAACCAACAGATCAGCAGTTGCCCACGCGATCAATTTTAATCACATACGGGCCCCACCAATATTGCGACAACAGGGATCGCGCCATTTTCTGAATCTACAATTCACACTACCACGTTGGTCACAGTCGAAAAAACTTTCCAAATGAAATCCGCAGCTCACAGTGTCACGCCATGCATTTAACTCAGCAGCTGGGCGTTGGGTATCGCCACAGTCTGCGATTCTCAGGCCCAGCAGTTAAGCAAAATAAGCAGTTGCTTAGGTTACCAAGCGAGGCGGCACTACTAAAATTTTCCATAGCCTTGGAAAATTTCCAAAAACATGGGAATACAACTAATTTGGAATCTATAATCAGCTGCCCCACAGTTCACGGAGGCTGTTGTGATTGTTCCTGCTGAAGTCTTTTTCGTGTCGGCGGTAGAGTTAAGTTGTCCACTGAGAACGCGACTGCAGAATTATCACAGAGTAAGTCAGGTTCTACAAGATGAGGATATGAGCTTACAAATATAATAGATCTCTATATATCATTATCTGACCAGCTGTGCAGTTCACATGATTAATTTGAAAGATATGATGTAGCTACAGAAAAAATGTTAAAAGTTGTTGAAAAGAAGGCAGCTACAAATCGCAGACGATCAGACAGAAAGCGCCAAAGAACGGAGATGCATTCTAAATGATAGAGTTAAATAAACCTGAAGCTGAGATGAAAAAAGAAATAGAGGAGGGATATGCGCATAAATAGCAGAGGGTTTTCCTTTATTTTTATTTTTTTTTTGCGATGTGCCAAAAAAATGTTACTTTATCATCCACCAACACGAAAGGTATTCTTAGAGCTGGGTTAAAGTTGATCAATTTTTACTCAGAAGACATCAACAAATTTCATAGCTGTGCTTCAGCAGTTTTCTTCATGTGTGCAACAAAACAAAGTTAAAAAAAAAAAAAAAGGAATTCGGTGATGCTGAACATTATAAAATAATTTCAGAAAACAATATTGCGTGTGCCTTTCCAAATGTACACATTAGCTTTCGCAATAATGTAATTTTAAATGTGACAGTAGGAGCCTGATTATATATGTGTCCGTCTTGTCTTTCCTCTGATGTCGAGGATCGGCCGGATTCCCTCGTCACTCCTCGCTGTATCAAGAAGAGATATAAAACAGAACGAAAAGTATATTAGCAAGCTTCGCTGTATCACTCTCATCACCAGACTGTGATGATCCATTTGTTTCTTTGAATTTGTAACGTGCTCACATAGGTCTTAACCATGTCTACCTTATCACCCATCACTATTCCAACAAGATGTACAGAGCCAGCCAATCCAACCGGTTATTCATTTCCCAAAACACCGGCATTTTGCTTATCGCCAAGACAGGAAGAAAATCAACTGAGCCAGCTGCACTACCAAGATAAACCAAAACAGGCAGCTGTATTAAGCTAAGTTGAGTTGAGTCTAGAATTGTCATCACAGAAGTCAGGGCATTCCTATGCGTGCTTCGTCCGCATCTTCAGCAGCCATCTATGTTTTAGTACTGATGGTACCGGTCACAATCTGGTTATATGTGCAGCTGTATTGATTGCGCTCTTACCGGAAGTCTGTTTTGTAAACAAAATATTATGTCCCACTCTGGCTGCTCCTGATAAGAAAATAACAGAATATTTTCTTTTTGTGTGAAGATGTTAGACTTGAACTAGGAACAGAGAAACAAATAATAAAAAAGGTAGTGGGTTTTTAGAATTTATTATCTGGATACGCCCTAAAACATACACAACATAAAATTGACGACGAGAAACTCCAGAAACTTACACAAAACGTCAGATTATATTTGTAGTAGTTTGTAGTGAAAGCATAAATCTGGGTTTAGTTTAAGTTAGTAACCGTGGCGTGTTTTCGAGCATTTGTCTTGTCGCTATCACTGTCCTTTCAGTCAGTCAACAATAGGCTGTATCCAAAGTAAAGGTTGGCTGCAGTGAACACACTGTCTTTTATTTAAACTACTGTCTAACTCAAAACTACTGTTTCAGTTTATCCATCCCTTGATACAATGATACATTATGTAATAGTAGTAATAGTACTAAAAACTAATAGTAATAGTAAAATACATGTGGTGATGTCCTGCCACTTCAAGTACTTGTTTGTATATAATATATTTATATCGTTGCACGGTTGTCTGCCTCCTGCTCTCGTGCCAGGCTTTTCTTTAACGTTTCCCTCCACAATAGTTTCTAAGAGTGTTAGTGTTATGTCTTTTAACGTGGTCAGTATATATATTTTAGTTGCTGCTTTTTTAGTTTCTTTTCAGTAACTCTTTTCATTTACAGGTCTCTTCAGAACTTCTTCAGAACCAGCCATGAGATCTCTATGCCGTCACATAATATTCCCAAAGACAACTATCGATTTCTCAAACGTCAAACTTTTTACACCTGCTGCCCACCAAAATGGTATCAATTGTCTTGTGGCGCACCTGACAGCTAACCAAACAGGAAACGAAAACAAATATAGATAGTAGCTTTTGTGTGTATGTGTGTGTGTGTGCGTGCGGTTGGGTTGGGGAGGGGGGGGGTGGGGTTGGTTAAATATGTTGTCACAAATTATAGTCTCCAGCTAATGCGACTGCTTGGAGGTTTTAAAAAAATATGACTTTTTTTCCCTGGAGTGTTGTTTCTGAAGATAAAGTGCTACATTAACATCTGGGACTGGTCCTTATCCCCACTTTGGGCCACAGCCCCTAGGTTGAAGAACCTGATGTAGACAAACTTCATTGTAGAGACGACACAATTATTTTATTTACATAGGCTTGAAATATTATCCTTGTCTTCACATGGTTTAATCGACACACACTCACATTATACCTTTTTTTTTTTTCACCACCAAGCATGTCTTCACTATGGTGACAATATTCTTAAAATTCTTCTTAAAAATGGTTTCAGAAGTAGTCTTTTTTTTCTTCAGGAGATGGAAACTGATAGCCAGAGCATATGCCAGGAAAACAAAGATGTAGCCAGCGATACTGCAGCTGACGAGGAAGCAGAAGTTGGAGTATCCCATCTGCCACCTGTTCTACACATCCTGGATCTGCCAGATTCGGTTATATTCCAGATTCTTGTGTACCTGCCATTTTCGTCAATTGGTGCAACTGCTCAAGTGTGCAGTCGGTTCAGTCGAATATCATCAGATGAACTTTTGTGGCGCCATGTTTTTCTTCAGCATTATAAATTGGCAGCAAACAGCGTCATGCCAGCCAAGTGAGACTTTTTTTTAAAATTCCTGTTTATATGAGTAGTCAGCATTTGTTGCTTAAACGCTCTTCCTAGTGCCGGGTTCGATCCTAGCTGCGGACAGTTTGTCTTGCATTGGTTTTGACAGTGGTACAGAGAGCTGACTGTTCAGAAGCAGTAGCAAACTACTGAACATAAAATTTGTCTAGAAAAACCACAACAGCCAAAAAATGCTGGGGTTGGTTCTGCAAAGTCCTGTGAAGGATACGCAACTAACATATGAGTGACAGTTTTACTCCATTTATAGCATTTCATGTTTCATCTATTTCATTCAGTATAGAAAGTCATTCATATTCAGATAAATACTAGTAGACTGAAACAGATAATCGCAGTTCCAACCTTCCTCTGTCTCCCCTATGTTTATTATTAATGTCATATATATTCAAGGAAATATACATAAATGAAAGTGTATCCATCTTTTTGAATAACCCTGTTCCCTAGAAGTCAGAGTACATCTGCCGGTGAGGCAGGGAACGGCAAACAAATAAGGCAGTAAAATGGACGTACATGCAAAACTCAGGTCCAGGTAAAAGCCAAAAGTACAAATTGAGGAACTACCGGGACCTTCTACCGAAATTCACAGCCGGTGAACGAGAAGAAGAATAAGAATAACCCTGTATGTCTTACAAAGGGAGGAAATTTACAAAAAAAATAGTTCTGAGTTATAGTTAGATTATGTCCGGTTCTGTTTTGTATTTTCGTGGTAATTCTTAGTCTAAAGGTCAGAGTGGAATATACTTAAAAAAAAATTTGTTGTGTTCATTTGTTCTCTGTGTGACTGCAAAATCCTGTATCATCCTGACATGTTTGATTAAAAACAGTCACATGGCTTTTATAATCAGTTATGACCTATTGTGATTTACATTTGATGAACAGGGCCAAATCTTGGAGACAGGAATTCAAGAGGTTGTACTACCACACGCCAGCGGTTCTCAGTGAGGAGAGAAAAGAACATAAGGATGAAGTTTTGCATGTCAGTTTTTCCCACGATGGCACCATGTTTGCTACCTGCTCTAAAGATGGATTCTTTAAGGTAGTACCTTTCGCTGCCTGTTTTTGGTCTTCCTGTCTTGTTAGTTTGATCCACATGATTTAATTTATGTTAAAATGTTAAATGATGAAATCTTCGTCTGCGCTTTTACCAGCTGTAAACTCCGGCGGAAAGTTCTGGTTCTTCGTCATCCTCTCGACTTTAGTCTGGTTCTGTACTTGAGTGTTATGTGCACATCTGTTTTACATATCGGACTTATCTGTATGCAGACTGTTGGTTCCTTTCCTTTCAGGCTGCACTTGCAATGCCACATGGCATGGACTTTAAGAAGACGACACAAGACAGAAGGTTGTGGATAAGACATGACTACCAACGCCACACAACATGGACTTTAAGAAGAAGACACGAGACAGAAGTTTGTTGATAAGACATGACTACCAGCGCCACATGGCATGGACTTTAAGAAGGCGACACGAGACCGAATGTTGTGGATAAAATATAACCACCAACGCCACATGGCATGGACTTTAAAAAAGAAAAAGACACGAGACAGAAGATTGTAGATAAGACAAGATGTGACTACCAACGTCATATGGCATGGACTTTAAGAAGAAGATAACCCAGAATGAGGTCCCAGAACCCACACAGGAACTTTACTGCATCTGATGCAGATTTTTAACAGCAGAAGGCATGGTACCAGTAAGGAGGGGTAGGGGTTGATCAACACGAAGATGAGCACCGGATATAAATAACTCCTTGACTATGAAAGTGCATGAGGCAGGAGAGCAGGCGAGAGACTGAGTTTCTTTCAGGCAGACTGTGATGAGAGTGACGTTCTGCAAAGGGCCCGCTACATGATGATGATGAGGATAATGTAGATTTAATTAATTGGGGAAATGACTAATTAATAGAATGCTTCAATTTATCGTGCACATGGTCTTCTTCGGTCCGACATGATTTGTTCTTTACCCAATGTGACCCAGGTTTGGGAATGCACCCACCCTGTGCGGCTGCTATTCAAGATGGACATGAAATCAACTTTCAGCTGGAAATTTACTCAGTTTTCTCAGTTCAATGAGACTGACACCTGCCTTCTGGTGTCTGGAGTGTACTTCGGCCGTCTCAGCACATCAGGAGAAATTGCTGTGTTTAATCTGCAAGGTGAGTCTAACTTTTTGTTTCAATTGATGTTCATGAGAAAAGTAATAATCACAGAAAGTTGACAAAATAGATTCACAACCCCTTAAGGAGAATGTTGTAGGAGACACCAAAATAAGTGTTTGTTGAAAATGATGTGTTGGGTCAAATGGCACAGATATAACAGCTTTGCAGTAAACCACAACAGAACGTGCCACCCTCCCTTGTGAGAACACACAGCAGAAGCAGAAAATCCAATTTTTTGCAGTGCAGACTGATAAGGAGAACTCACCTGGCACCCAAGAAATGGTTCTTATCAGAAATTCCTGTTATCCGATAAGAGTTCAAGCAAGAAAAATTGCAGGGGATAAACAAATTGTTCTTCAGAACTCAAATTTGCCAGATCTGAGATCGCTTTAAGTGGTCTGAACTGTATTAGTATTGTAAATTAGAAGAAAAAAAAAATAAGGGTTCGAAAAATCTGGCAATATTATTGTAAACTGCCTGGCAATGGAGCATGCTCTTGTTCCAACTTTGTCTCTAATGCTGACGTTTGTGACTCTGTCTCTTTGTGAATTGTTGGTGACTCTTCTTTCTGAGACATCGCATTTCACACGTAGTTATTTTTTGCATATGTGATTTGTTCATTGTCCACGTTTGGCACTGATAACATAACGTAGGGATGAAAATGCTGTTGATCATCCGTAGTAGATGTAAACTAGCGGTTTGGGCTCACCTGACTCACCTCAACATATGATCTAGCTCGCCGTTGCCCACTGCGAGCCTCCAGCTACCCACTGGCTCAGCTCAACATTGAGCTAGCTCGCAGTGGGCAACGTAGTGAGCTACAAACACGCAAACATAGTGGATCCCCCAGCCCCCCCAGGGGGCCCCGCCTGAACCCGTCGGTCAATTGAACAGGTGTGTGGTGTGCTGTATAGCCTAAGATGGGAAGAGAGTACAACGAGTGCCTCCAGTGGTTGATATTAGGCTCGACGTGTCGATGTAGTCGCAACTGTGTGGGGGACTATTGTAAAATACACAATGCCCTTCGGAAACAGGGCGGTGGCACCCCCGGCCCCCAGGGCCCCCGGGTCGGAATAAAAAAAACAAATACGACATATGCAAACATTGTGGATATGACATGGCCTATAAGAGAAATTGGATGCACGTTTCAGAAGCAGTTTTCCCGATGCAGGCCGGTGCAGATTCAATTTAGACAGATGTGGTGTCTTATATCGCCACCAGATGGTTTCCGAAGGGTTAGAAGAGACTGTCTCATAGTGTATACCCACCCATGACTAAAGATCATGGCAAACCCTTATGAGGTGTATGAAGAAGTCGGTATACTACGAAGGTTTACGGCAAGGGTACCCCTTTCACATAAACTTGAGAGAGATGTCTTGGGCTTTCTTACGGCAATGCACGATTACAGTGCCCGCGTGCTAAAGTCGGAACTAAGACGCCTTGGTCCGATTAAGATGTACCAGAGTCTCACGGTAGACTATGAAAAGCCTGGTACAGACGGCGAGATAATTGAAACAACAGCCTATCATACTTCCAGAGCAGTCCCTATCCTTAATGAAGGAGACATCCAACCAGCTCTAGCACAGGCCACAGCGAAGATGAATGCCGATCATGAGCAGTTTATGAGAGAGGGCAGCGGTTGGACAATAAAACGTTGTGTGAAGCTAGATTTGTCGACAGCCCAGTACCGACCACTGCGAGCTAGGGGGTACTTTAAAACCCCTAAATACATTCCCCCCCGCACTGTTGTAAATGTTAAGAACAACGATAACCGCTGTTTCGAATGGGCTATCCTTAGTGCGCTGTATCCGGTTGCTGAAGACGCACAAGGAAGAAGCAGAAATGCACAACGAATGAGCAAATATGAAGCTCACCTGGGGAAATTGAATTTCGATGGAATCAGTTTCCCTGTGCAGGTTACAGACATCGCCAAATTTGAGCGACTGAACTCAACCATCGCTGTGAATTTATTCGGTTGGGATGACGGGCCATATCCAATATACAACACTCACAACCTAGGGCGACTTAACACCATCAACCTCCTTATGTTGGTCAACGGTACGAATCAACATTATGTATGGATCAAGGATCTAGCGAAGCTTTGTTATAAGAACAGTAACCACAAAGAACGTAAGCATCCCTGTGTTCGATGTTTGCACGTCTTCTCGACCGAATCGTTACTGGAAAAACACAGGCGCGACTGTCTAGGAATCGGCGAAAAGCCTCAGCGAATCTTGATGCCGAAGCCGGGCACAGCTGAAGAGCCTGGAGACAACATTCTCAAGTTCATACACCATCACAGGCAGATGAGGGTGCCATATGTCATCTATGGTGACCTTGAGTGTTTGAATATACCCGTTGAAGGCTGTGCAAACGACCCACGGATGAGTAGCACCAGGCAGATTTCAGAGCAGACCCCATGTGGTTACTACTATGTTGTCGTCCGCTGTGATGGTCTCACCAAGCGTGGACAACTATACCGCGGTGAGAACGCCGTGGAGCACCTCCTCGAAAGCCTCAAAAGAGAGCTGGATGACATCAACAGAGTATTCGAAAATCCAGCAAGACTCTCGATGTCGGGTGAAAACTGGCAAGCCTTCAACACCGCCATAAATTGTCACATATGTGGTGAGGTACTAGGCGGTGATCGGGTGCGTGACCACTGCCATATTACAGGCGACTATCGCGGGGCAGCCCACACCGCCTGTAATCTCAAGCTGCGCATCTATCCTCATAAGACTAAAGTCCCCGTTGTATTCCACAACTTGCGCGGCTACGACGGACATCTCATAATGCAAGCCATGGGGGGTCTAGATTGGGGGACACGACCGGTGTGGCGCAAGACGACTGACGGTGAGTGGATGCTGAAAGAGGTGCTTAGAGGAAAAGTTGATTGCATCCCAAACAACATGGAGAAATACATGTCGTTCTCTGTCGACCACCAGTTGCAGTTCATTGATAGCATGCAGTTTATGCCCAGCGCCCTCGAGAAGCTGGCCGCGAACCTATCGGATGATTGCTTAAAAATCACAGGTATGGAGGTTTCTAGCACAGCGCTGAATCTGTTGAAACGTAAGGGAGTTTACCCCTATGAATATGTTGACAGCTTCTCGAAATTTGAAGAGACTCAGCTACCGCCCAAGGAAGCCTTCTATAGCCGTCTGAGTAGAGAGCACATCAGCGACGAAGATTATGAGCACGCCCAGAGTGTGTGGAAAGAATTCGACTGCAAAACATTCGGAGACTATCACGATATATACCTGCAAACTGACGTGCACCTTCTAGCAGATGTTTTCGAGTCCTTTCGTAATACATCTATGACACACTATGGCTTAGATCCCGCGCACTACTTCAGCGCGCCAGGTTTGAGTTGGGACGCACTCCTAAAAAAGACCGGGGTAGAGCTAGAGCTCATAACCGACATCGACCAGCATCTATTTGTTGAGAAGGGATTACGGGGCGGCCTCGCAATGGTTAGCAAACGCTATTCCAAGGCGAATAACCCACTTTGTCCAGATTATGACAGTACAAAGCCGAATAGCTGGGACATTTACCTAGACGCTAATAACTTATATGGCTGGGCAATGCTGCAGCATCTTCCTGTAGGAGGATTCCGAATGGTTGAGGAGTTAACGCTCGACGAGGTTCTAGCCCTCGAGCCTGATGCTCAAGAGGGTTATATCTTAGAAGTAGACATAGAGTATCCAGAGAATCTGCACGACGCCCACAGCGATTATCCTCTCGCGCCGGAGAAAATGAGCGTCCCTGAGGAATGGTTGAGCGACTATCAGCGAACACTTGTGCGCAAACTGGGGGGTAAGTACACCGAGTGTGTGAAGCTAGTCCCAAACTTATTCAATAAGGAGCGATATATCGTACACTACCGAAATTTGCAGCAGTATCACGCACTGGGCATGCGAGTTACAAAGATCCACCGAGCCCTTAAGTTCAGACAAGAAGCGTGGATGGCGTCATATATACAGCTAAACACCGATCTACGCACCAAGGCGACAACTGAATTCGATAAAAACTTCTTCAAATTAATGAATCTCGCCGTTTTCGGAAAGACGATGGAGAATTTGCGCAAGCGTATCCAAGTTGATCTTGTTCGAATTAATCAGGATCCACCAGATCTACTACGCCGTCTGATTGCAGATCCGGCTTACCAATCACATCGGATATTCAACAAAGAGCTCGTAGCGATACACAGAACCAAAGGACAACTCAAACTCAATCGCCCTGTATATGTTGGGCAGGCTGTTCTGGACCTCAGCAAATGCCTGATGGGCGACTTTTGGTATAACAAGCTCAAAGCCCGATATGGCGACAAGGTGCAGCTATGCTATACTGACACAGATTCCCTAATCATACATGTTGAGACACCAAACGTTTATGATGATATGAAACAAAACCCCGAGTGGTACGACTTCTCAGATTACCCAAAGGACCATCCACTCCACTCTACAGAAAACAAAAAGGTCCCAGGCAAATTCAAAGACGAATGCAACGGACGTCCTATTGCTGAGATCGTAGCAGCCCGTCCCAAGATGTACAGCGTCCTAGAAGCCAACGGAGATAATTATAAGAGAGCTAAGGGAGTACAGAAGGTCGTAGTGAACAAAGATCTGACACATGAACTATACAAACAGTGTCTGGTAGAAGGTGTTGAGATGCGACATACACAGGTAGCAATCCGAAGCAAGGGGCATCAAATAGGGGTCTACGAGCAGGTGAAAACGTCTCTCTCCCCCCTGGACACGAAAAAATGGATTTCCCCCGATGGTATTTCAACTAGAGCCTATGGCCACTTCAGAATCGCACAGGACCAGGTCGAGGTTTTGAATGCATTCTTTAACGAGCTTTTTGGCGGGTGAGAACCCCATCCGGGGGTAACTGGGTATCAGATGGCACCACTAGCAGCTCCTCGCGAACGAACCCCCGAGTAGGTCCATCGGTCAGATAATACAAGCCGGGCTGCCCAGATTGTCTCACAACAT